AAGTGTTCTTTATTTTTGTTCAAGTGTTTCACAATGTTTTGGATCTGAATGTTTTAAATATTTACTCATTAATGACCAGTGATCTCCGATATGTCTTGACCAGGTCAAGTTGCTGTCTAAAATCTCAGGGCTTTTTTGGAGAGTCAAGAAACTAGTTGAAACTAGTAACCACTGTGTTGTTGTTAAATTGTTGTTTTCCGTATTAAATTTGTGCCAAATATTATTTATTTTGTCATTTTTAAAAGGTTTTATTAAAGCTTAATCAAGCATAGTGATTTTGTTGTTTTGTGCTTTATAATTCAAGCATTAAGTCGATTATAAGTAGTATTTGTTTAAAAACAATACTTGCAATATATTTCAATATATATTGCAATATATGCTTTTGCATTGCAATATATCGTAATATGAAAATTCTCTCCAATATCCACCCATAACATCTTGAGATAACTGTGCATACTTTAAGCTTTATATAAATAACTGTATGTAAATAATGGACAATCTATGCCGTTGGGATATGATGACATGTCAGCAAATACACCTCTGGTGACCAGGTAGGTTAGTGGTGCATGGTGTATTTGTATGTATGTCTGTTTGTCTGTTTAACACTTCACTCAGCAATATTCCAGCTATATGACTGTTGTCTACAAATAATCGAGTCTGGACCAGACAATCCAGTGATCAACAGCATGAGCATCAATCTGTGAAATTGGGATGGGATGACACGTGTCAACCAATTTAGCGAACCTGACCATGTGATCTCATTAGTTGCCTCTTTACAAGCAAGACCAATTCGAACCACAATCTTTACGTGTTGTATGTCTGAAGCCGCACAATGTGTAAAGATCATTTCTGGTGTCCCCTGCCGCGATATTGCTGGAATATTGCCAAACGACACTCACTCACTCTCATGTCATGTTCACTGCTTATTGATACTGTTTGTATATTACTGTTTACAAAATACACATATCCCTGAAGATCATGATGATCCAGGTACGAATCATCTTCAGCAGCACAAGCTTGTCATAAAAGATGACTCACAGGATCTTGTGGCGAGACTGATCTATGCACAATGTATACAATGACAAGCGATGTTCATTACGTCAGTCTGTCTGTCTGTCCCCGACTATTATTCAAAAATCACCATCATACAGTTGGAATATTGTCATAAGAGGCGACCAATGGGATCCGGTGGTCAGGTTCACTGACTTGGTTCACACATGTCTTCTTTGAGTGGCATTTTAGAAGTTAGGAAGTACAACATTGAACAAACTTTATTGACAACAACTTCTCTTATTTTGTGAGTGTGACATTTTGATACAGATTCTTGTACCGTTGTCAAGCAGGAATGCATTTCACAGAATCTGTCAATAAATTATAATGACATGTCATTGCATCCCAGTTGCATAGATCGATGCTCATGCTGTTGATCACTGGATTGTCTGGTCCAGACTCGATTATTTACAGACTGCTGCCATATAGCTGGAATAGTGTTGAGTGCACTGTCAACCCCCTGGATGCCGGTGGGGGGTTTTCTGACGCACATTTTCATAAGGTTTGAAAAGTGAACGTAGTACAAGAATTGTGCTTGCGTGGTCAAGGATCTACATATGGCTAAAAAATAACACAGAAATCTAGAATGTTAAATCTCCTATCCGATGATATATATTCAAGTGCAAATACTTAGGCGGCGTAAAAATTAGACACAAAGTGTTGTCAGAAATTTTGTTATGCTTTAAAATACAGTAAATTTTTCTGCTTTTTTTCATGCGTAAATAAAAACACTGTGCAATGACTTTAATAATTTGGCATCAATACGGAAAGTGAGCGACCAAAATACTGCCCGATATCTGAACGACATAAGTCATAAGTATATATGAAATGGGTTTGTGTTCTTATGTATAAAGTTATGCACTCAATCTTTAAAAATGACTTGCAATAAATCTAAAATGTCAGAAATAGATATTCCTCTATGACATCAAACGATGACAGAGAGGTCATACACGTATAAAGATAAGGGGGCATAACTCCGCCACGCTTAAAACTAGGTCATTGTAACTCAGTAGACTTGGAGAGAATTTGCTACACACACTATATTTTCAGGATGTTTTGTTCACCGTGAACCATACTATTCCAATACAAAGATCCCCACTGTAACCGTATACGTTTTGGTAGAATCACATATACGAAAAGATGACATTTTATTACGTGAGAAAGCATGTAATAGTGATTTGGATGACTCTAACCCGGACCTTCCTTTTTGTATGGAACTATCAGAATAATGATGTAAGGTAGTTCAAATTAAGACATGACACAGTTTATATTTGTTTTTTAAAGTTTTGAGGAAATATAGTTAGAGTTTGATATCCTGCCATCACAATATTTCGTAATCGAATTTGAACTGTTTGTGAATTGTAAAACGTTTGTGACAAACACCCACCTGGCCAATCAATATACATCATTGTTTTGTCTATAAAGAGACACAAACAAACTAATGAACAAGACAATTATTTTCAACATGTGTGCATATACATTTCATAAAATATAAAGGTTAAATTAAATCGCTGTTCATTAACCTGTTCACATGAAACTGCAATATTGGTCTCAATATTAAATATTGCACATCATAGGAACTAAGGTAGGCGTTCATATTTGTTTTTACAATTTTCATGGAAATATAGTTACAGTTGGATATCCTTTCATCACAATATTTCAGTTCAACACATGGACATTTTTCAAGACTGAAAAGGAATTTTCAAACAATTAATCCACAGTCATGATTATTTATTTCCTATCGATCCAATGTTTCAGATGATTAAAAGGTCAACTGCAAATCCCTGTTATTTATGTACTAGGGGCACTGGGGTAGCCAAGTGATTAAAGCATTTCTTCATCACATTGAGGGGGCGGTGGGGTAGCCTAGTGGTTAAAGTGTTGGCTCGTCATGCCGAAGACCCGCGTTCGAATCCCCACATGGGTACAATGTGTGAAGCCCATTTCTGGTGTCCCCTGCCGTGATGTTGCTGGAATATTGCTAAAAGCAGCGTAAAACCAAACTCAGTCAGTCAGTCATCACACTGAAACTCCCCCAGATAGCATTCAGGACGCATTCAACGTTTGGCAATGTTGGCAAAACCATTGCCAACGTTGGGCCAACGTCTGAATGCTATCTGGGCCAGGTCTGATTCCCTACATGGGTACAAAGTGTGAAGCCCATTTCTGGAGTCGCCCACTGCGATATTGCTGGAATATTGCTAAAGTATGACATAAAACCATACTCACTCACTCATTTATGTAAGCAACACTAGAATCTAAAAACAAAACATCATAAACTTCAAATGTCAGTTGTAGTAGATATAAACATATCTGTCATCACCACAGACAGGTCAAATGCTACTAGTGGGGGCAAATGAGTGACATTGCTCTTAATTCATGTTTACAGCTTTATTCTGTGGAGCCAGCTGCAGGAACTTCCCTGCTACACAGGACCTGCAGGTATCTGGAAGTGTTCTCGTGCCTAATGCCTAAGTGTGTTCCTAAATGCGTTGTGTAAAAGTATTGTGTCACTGGCTGGGCCCCTTGTCAGTCAAACACTGCAGTAGATTCCTTATATTCACTCTGTCCATATATCCTGCAGTTTTCTGTGTCATATTCACATCACCTCCGAACAACTCATGTACACAAACTGACAATGGCACAAGTGTCTAAAGTTTACAAATGTTTACTCACAATCAAATCTCCTGCCTCAGTACCTGTCCAAGTACCTTTCCCTTGCAGCAAACAAGTGTTGAATAACGGATGGTGCTCGATTTCAAAACAGAAGCACTCGGATTATTCCATTATTTTAGGAGGGGTGTTTGCTTTTAATACAGGTGGATATATCAATTACTTAACCTGTCTGATTGACTAAATGATATTAATTTTCATGCCATGTAGGTTCTGAAATACAATATTCTTACTAGAGTCATTTATGCTCCACCAAATGCACAACTTCCATGACAGTTATATGAATGTTTGAAGAATACACACCACAAGCAAAAAGTTGACAATACGGTACTGTGCACCAGTTAATAGCCAATCGTTAGACAGTGGGGAGACACACCCTCGTGACATAACCTTGACCTATGACATTTATCCCGGTTACACATGTATCCTAAAGTACTTGTGTAAGATATGTACAACATTGTGTCGACACTCATGGACTACATACTAGCACTGGTCGTACTAAGACAAAGCGCGCTATCTACACAACAGTCTGTGTGTATAATACTGTATGTTTACAATTATGATATTAATTACTTTTTTATTCGACGGAATTGACAAAAAAGAATGTTAGTTTCGAAATATTTACAGAAGAAATAGTCCCTCTATACAATGGCAATATTATTACGCGCAGTGAATGCAATATATAAACAACATTATCCGGAAAGCAAATAAATATATTTAGTGAATGTCCTTATTTTTTAAATCTATGTCGAGGGTTTTTTTTACGAGCACGCTTCAAGCACAGGTGAAGAGTTCTCAGAAGTTACATAGATTCGAGTTACAATTAATATATTTTCTAATCTCGTGAGAAACATATGCTATTTGTTTCATTTGTCGGACCCTGACTTGATAATTCTACTTCCGTACGAGGAAAAAAAATATTGTTTCCTTATAACGTGACTGTCGTGAGATTGGGGAATCGGACTTGCATCATCTAGCAACGTGGACGGTTTCATTATACCGCGGAGGCTTAACAGCTGATTCCGTGCCATATTCTGTTTAATTCTACAAAGAAACGTCCACTTTTGTCATCATAAACCAAAAAATATACAAACAAAAAACAGAATCGCTTCACAAATGCCAATGCGACATATCAACATGTGCGATTATAAAAATACAGCCTTAAAAACATACAACGTGTTTTTCGCGCATTCATTGCCTGTCGGCTATGCCTGATCTGAGCCGAACTCGTGCTTGGACATTTATCAGTAAATGACCCGACAGTCACTATGACCTACCTGTGACGTGCTGAAGCATCTCACTAGTCGAGTTACACCGAACATAAGATAGTAGTTTATCAGCACCGGGTCAGTCCTGTACACAACGAGCGGATAGCGGAACACTACACTGAGGCTGACCAAGGGGTCAAGGTCGCTGTGTGGGGGTTTGACATGGCGGGAAGTTTGAAATTCCGTACATCATGAACACGTGTAGGGGTGACGTCTGACTTAGATTAACATAATTTAACAAGATGATAGGACTTATGTAATTATAAGTGCATTCCTCCTTTGTGTGTGTGTGTGTGTGTGTGCGCGCACGCGCGCGCATGCTGACAGACATCGGTTGATACGAGATACTATGTTGCACTTTTACGCATATCCCACTGAAACCAAGCTTAGGCCAAACGCCTGGCAGTGTAACAATAAGTACCATCTTTCAACGCGCACGTTGAACATCGTGAAACTGATATACGGTCGACCAGTATGCTGCATTAACTCCAGGCAGTGTAGCAATAAGTACCATCTTTCAACGCGCACGTTGAACATCGTGAAACTGATATACGGTCGACGTGTATGCTACATTAACTCCAGGCAGTGTAGCAATAAGTACCATCTTTCAACGCGCACGTTGAACATCGTGAAACTGATATACGGTCGGCCTGTATGCTGCATTAACTCCAGGCAGTGTAGCAATAAGTACCATCTTTCAACGCGCACGTTGAACATCGTGAAACTGATATACGGTCGACCTGTATGCTACATTTACTCCAGGCAGTGTAGCAATAAGTACCATCTTTCAACGCGCACGTTGAACATCGTGGAACTGATATACGGTCGACCTGTATGCTGCATTAACTCCAGGCAGTGTAGCAGTAAGTACCATCTTTCAACGCGCACGTTGAACATCGTGGAACTGATATACGGTCGACCTGTATGCTGCATTAACTCCAGGCAGTGTAGCAATAAGTACCATCTTTCAACGCGCACGTTGAACATCGTGAAACTGATATACGGTCGACCAGTATGCTACATTTATTAACTATATGCTTGTGAAAGATATAGAGAATACTAAACGATGTCCCGTGTAATACCATATTTATGAAACGAGTGAAAGATTTGGTATCTAACTCGCTTTCGCTCGTTAGATTCCAATACCATTCCGAGTTTCATACATATGGTATTGCTTTTGCCAACTGATCAGCTTTTTCATTTCCAAACATTCCAACATGAGCAGGTATCCATGAAAATTCAACATCTAAAAGATCTTTACTTAATTCATTAAAAAGGTCGAGTATAATATTGATCAAGTCTTGTCTTGCTGAGGAGACCCTGTCCGAATTGCTTGTAAAGAACTGACAGAATCACTCAAAATGACCGCTGATACAGGTCTCAAAAAATTAATCCAACGCAAAGCTACAATGATTGCTGCAAGTTCAGCAGAGAATACAGATAAATGATCAGCTAATCGTATAGAAATTTCTCTTTTATCGGTGGCTATGAAGATACCTGCACCAACACGACCGGACACTGAGCACTTAGATCCATCAGTGTAAATCTGCATAGCATTGATCCACTGTAAACTTCGAATATGTTCCTCAGCTAGAGCTTTAACATGAGGTGCTAGTTCAGATTTATTTGCTTGTTCCAGGACATCAAGATAAACTGATGGAAGGTCAAGCAACCATGGTGGCTTCTTTGGCAGAACACTAACATCAGCTATGGCAACATCACGTACATTATGATAGAAAGCAGTTCTCCGAGAACGCATCCCATAAGGCCCCATACCGTCTTTCCAAGGATCTAGGAAATACTCAACACAATCTCCCAATACAGCTGAAGTAGGGTGTTTCATTCCAAAAGATAACAGTTTTAACATGTACCTAACTTCTAACAGTTCACGTCTGAGATCTAAAGGCATTTCACCAGATTCAACATGTAAAGCCTCAACAGGGGTAGTTCTGAATGCTTCAAGGCATATTCGTAGGGCTTTAGACTGAACAAAATCTAGTCTTGCCTTTTGTGTAGCACATGCAGATCCATAGGCTTGACAGCCAAAATCAAGTCGTGATCTAATGAGGGCGCGATATAACAGTAATAAACACTTCCTGTCTGCACCCCATTTGGTACTGGAAATACTTCTCAGAAGGTTCAGGACTTTAGTGCATTTCTGAATCAAGTAGTCAATATGAGGTTTACAGGTAAGCCTCTTATCAAACCAGAGTCCCCAAAACTTGACTTTATCCACAAACTCCAAATGAGAACCGCACAAAACCAATTTTGAATTATGACGAATCTTCTTCCAAGATGAGTGCAGACGATATAGAAGCAGAAATCTTAAAACCCCAATCCTCAGCTTTCCGCCAGTCAAGCAAGGTCTAATACTATTGTGGCAGAGGTACTAGCATTGTGACATCATAACTGTAAAACCACTTTGGCGCCATACGTACGACATCACGCGATGTTATTACACACTGTGTGATGACACAATGTGTAATAACATTGTAAAATTATTAAACAGTGATATCTTCAACGGGTGAGTAATAAATAGAGAATACTACACGAGGTCTCATTACATACGAATTATACGAAACGAGTGTCCTTCCTATGGTATCTGACCGAGCGAAAGTGACGTCAGATAACATAGGAAGGTCACGAGTTTCGTATAATTCGTATGTAATGAGACCGAGTGTGGTATTTTATTTATTACCCACGTCTTACATGCATTAAATTGACAAAATAGCGTATTTTTGTTAATATTTTGGTTTCAAACCGAAACCGGTTTCATAAAGAGGTTGCGGAAGAGTTTTGTACTGTAGTACAATATTTGCATGACGTCACACTAATGACGTCACTGCCTTGGTAACCGACGTCACGATGCATGTCAGTTGTCATCGCCTCGTACAGCCTCCTACAGTAAACTACTCCGTAGCACCTCGTTTCTTGGTTTCCAGTTGCTTCATTCGACTAACATCACTGGTGGAAACATTGCGTTTATGTTTTTCGACAGATATAATGTCTCAGTTTGACTCACAATTAAAACAGCGACACGGCAACGTTCGCAATGTTTACATTCCCACAATGCATTAAGTTGTAGAATGAATGAATTCACGTGTTTGTTATGAATGAAAAAATAGTTACGTCAGAATGTGACCTAATTGAGAGGTCATCGGATATCCAGTCAAATCGTTAGAATCTCAGGTCAAGTCGTTACGACACAGGTCAACGCGATACGACACTCGTGTGACGTACGAGATTAGCATGCAACTACCCATACGTTCACCACGTGGGTAATAAATAGAGGATACTAAACGACCTTCCGTGTAATACCATTTTTATTAAACGAGTTAATGATTTGGTATCGAACGAGCGAAAGCGAGTTTGATACTAAATCTTTCACGCGTTTAATAAAAATGGTATTTCACGGAAGCGAGTTTAGTATTCTGTTTATTACTCTCCAACATAAATTGTTAACTGCCTACAGTTCCGCGAGTCAAGCAAGGTCTAATACCATTGCGACAGACGCATTAGCATTGTGACGTCATAACTGTAACCATTATGACGTCAAAAGTCAAGCGGTATTACACTGGTGTAATATTGCCGTAAAAATATTACACTGCAATATCTTCCACGGACGAGTAATAAAACGGAACATCGGAATTCTGAATGATGGAACTACTACCTCAAAATTATTAGTAGTAAGAGTGACTGTCGTTAAATATCCTTCAACCCTTGAAGATGATCTGATGCGGGTTAGAACTGGTCTTCAGTACACATGCTTGTCGTAAGACGTGAGTAACAGGAACGGGTGGTCAGGCTCCATAACTTGATTGTCAATGTATCCCAATTGGGTAGATCGATGTTCATACACAGGATTGTCTGGTCCAGACTCGATTATGTACAGATCGACCACCGCCATATTGCTGGAATATTGCTGAGAGCGGCGATGTAGCCTACAATGTGGTTTCAGCGTTCGCTCGTAACGCTCGTAAGACCCGGTTCGATTCCCAAAAGGGTATAACGTGTGAAGCTCATTTTCGGTGTCCCGACAGTGGTATTGTTGTAATTCTGCTAAAAGCGGTGTAGGGACATAATTCAGGCGCCATTTTACTGTATTTTAAAAGTATTATTGTGACAGCTTCTGTGGTTAGTGGACAAGATGTCTGCCAATAGAAGAAGGGGTTCGATGCCCGGACCTCGGTGGGTCGTGAACACGTACAGACGTACTGTCGCCACTTTCTTCACAACGAGATTAGATGATATGTCGAAACGTCGCCTATACAACATAAAGAAGTTGTATATCCAAAAATCGAATCAAGAATAAGATTTCGAGAAATAAAACGATTTTTAGGATATTAAAATGTTTCTTGAAGGCAATAACAAATGAATGTTATGTTTCGATAAACCCTTTTGTTATAAACGTAGTTTTCTGTAATTCATTTATTCACAAAATCCTACTTTTATGTCAGCAAATATACTTTTTAAAATTGGTTAAAAGAGTAAACGATAAAAAGGGCCTTTTCATCTACTGTGTAAATTCTGCTGTTATTGTTAATAATTTATGTCAGACATAGGAAGCATGTTGGTATTATAAGCATTCTTTGTGAATCTGTCACGTGATGTATTCAAATGTATAAAAGGGCCAGTTGCAAACAGCAAAGAGGTGGAAAGTGTTTTTGATTAACTTGAAAACTGCCAGTAATTATTAATTAAGTGTAGTTGAAATACCGCAGAATTTTGTCTCTTCAGGGAGGGTCAGAATCATTCATAATGACAAGCGTTAGATATTCCTTCTTAAAGCAAATCGTTAGAATCCGTCGTTTGATTACTTGTTTGCACATAAAGGTGACAACCATTCACACGATAAGAGTTTACAAACACTAAAATGTTGGCCAAATTGTTGGTTAGAATAGAGGTCGATTCTGACTGTCGCCACTTTCTTCACAACGAGATTAGAAGATATGTCGAAACGTCGCCTATACAAAATAAAGAAGTTGTATATCCATAAAAAAATCCCTCGTTCGCAATCTGTTTGTATGGGAAAATTCACAAAGTTCAGTCACAACCTACAACGTACAAAACGTAAACACACAATTATTTGGAACATATAAAACGTCGTCGGTTTTGACGGTCAATATTTTACGGTGCTTCGGTCATTAAGCAGACCTGATTTGAACCGGATTTTTTCTTATACGCGCTACCGCTCGTAAAGGCTTATCTGAAGCAGTCGTAGTGAGTCCCAGTCGAGTCAGTTTCCTACCCTTACACGACCATTGATCCCAGCTATTGTCATGTGATCTCAAAATGGCGGCCTCCACATGTCGTTTTGTGTTGACAATTTTATGTAGCGTTATTTTCGTCTTGACAGCTATAGTTCTCATTCGGACTTTCACGCTGTCTGTCCGAGTCGACGATGTTCAAATCTGTGAATCGAAAGATGAGGATTTCATAGAAGCAACAGATGAAATAATACAAAAATTTAGGACAGCTTTAAGGTTCAAAACGGTCTCAATAGAAGCGGGCATATACGACAGAGATGAACTCTTCAAAATGCTTGAATTTATCAAATCAGGTATTTGTGGTTTAAACTGAAAATATATATGTGACATACGTTTCACAGACACGCAGGCATGCACAAATTACACCCCACCCCTCAACACAAACACAAAGGCCGGTATATACAGATTGTCATTTCACACAGGTGTGTATCTAGAGGCTAGGTTATGTCAGTGTACAACAGGGATGTTTAGAGGAACAAGGATACAACATGTCTCTGGAGGATGTCTCTGGAGGGTCTTCTGTTGAAAACTGACATCCTTGTTAATGAAGAGACCTCTGTCGTACACAGACAGATCCTTGTTAACTGGAGAGATCCCTGCCTTACACTGACATACCCTTGTTAACTGGAGAGATCCCTGCCTTACACTGACATACCCTTGTTAACTGGAGAGATCAATGCCTTACACTGACATACCCTTGTTAACTGGAGAGATCCCTGCCTTACACTGACATACCCTTGTTAACTGGAGAGACCCCTGCCTTACACTGATTTATCATCCAAAACTGTGGAGATATCGCTTGTGTAAGATCATATGATATCTCCTAGGAGATATCGTTTTGACAGTAGATTTTGTACAATGCCCTGACAATGCTATGACATCATCAACTTGATGACATCACAATGCTATGACATCGCTGCACTGCAAGTCTAATGGTAGTACAGTGTTGAGAGATGTACATTTTTCATTGAAAACTAATGAAGAATGATTTTTGATGATAAATAGAATCTCACCCTCGTGTCTACTGATATCAATTATATCAATACTCGTTGATATAGGTAAAAATATCCTCGGCAAGCCTCGGATATTTGTAACTCTATCAACTCGTGTTGATATAATTGATATCAGTAGACACTTGGGTGAGATTCTCTATATATCTTTGTTAACTGGAAAGACCTGTCGAATACTGACATACCCTGCCTCTGGTAATATGAGCAATCACACTGGTGACAAAACTTCCCAAATAACTCTTTGGTATTAGGTTGGTCCAGTGTATTTAGAATGGAGACTTTTAAAATTCCCTAGCTAATCGAGGATGTTGGATTAAACTTATCTCAGTCATATGAATCATTCATTTGATTCTTGTGTCAATAATGTAAATCATTCATTTGACGTGTCTGTCTCTTTCAGCCTTCCCTGTAGTACACTCGTCTCCACTTGTGGAGTTTGAGGTCATCAACAACTACAGCCTGCTCTACTCCGTGAAAGGCAGGAATGAGTCACTGACGCCATACATGTTAACAAGTCACCTCGATGTTGTGCCTGCTGAACCAGAAAAGTGGGAGGTGCCGCCTTTTTCTGCTGAAATTAAGGATGGATTTATCTATGGGCGTGGCACCATCGATGACAAACATGGAGTGATGGTTTGTTTATTTGTTTCTTGTTTAATGCTGCACTCAGCAATATTCCAGCTATATTGTGCGGCAGTCTGTAAATAATCGAGCCTGGACCAGACAATTCAGTGATTATCATTGAGAGCATCGATCTGCACAAGTGGGATATGGTGACATGTCAACCAAGTCAGCGAGTCTGACCACCTGATCCCGTTTGTCACCTTTTACTACAAGCATGGGTTGCTGAAGACCAAATCTGACCTGCATCTTTACGTGTCTGGTGTGATGGCAATGACATAGATATAAAGGTCAGGCTGGTCGCTCCAGTACCAGGCAGACTAAGGCCTAAAAAAAAAAATGTTGTGGTTCCGATTATCCGACCGACCGTTGAATTCTGGTGCCGACCCTATTTTTTTAAAACGGTATGAATAAAATAAGCTTTCAGATACCATTGTTTTTTTCCCCGGACCGACAGACATTGGTCATTCTGGTAGAGAAAGTCGACATTATGGCCTCAAGCTTTATTGAGTAAATAATTTACTTCTAAAAAGAACTGTATGGAATAAAATAAAAATCCTACCTACCTACCCTAAATTTTAAAGACGTGTAATTGGAACCATACCATTATTTTTTTTTGGCCTAAGGTTAATAATATCATTGCACCAGTGATTGTGTGGTGAGATGATTTTACCATTACTTGACACACTGGTCACTGGAGTTCTTGACTTCATGTGAGTAGTATATGTGATGTCAGATGGTTATTGAATCCTTCTGAGTGTAAGATGCAGTTTAGATTCTTGATAACCCCTCTCAATACTTAACAGATGCATTTCTTAGGCAAGTATTTGCTGTTAACATAGTTAACTCATCTGTTAATATCAGTATTTTTTGAAAGATTAAACTATGTTTTTTGTTGTTAAGGCAATCCTTGAGGCAATGGAATTCCTGTTGAAAAGAGGATTTCAGCCTGTGAGGTCCTTCTATGTCGGATTTGGTCATGACGAGGAGGTGAGTGTACACAGAGACTTGCCAAGTTGCAAGGTTGAAAATATCCTACATCCAGTCCTGACTTCCCTTGTCAGGTTGTCTGCTAGCAGGTTGGACTGTTCCATAGGGTACAAATATGTACCATGTCTGCTTGTAAACTTTTGTGGAAGCCCCAGTGGCTGTGTGGGTTAGATGGCTGACTTTGTGTGCTGGTGATTAGGTGCCTGACTCTGAGGGTGTGGAATTCAGCCTAACAATAGTACCAGAATCTGTACTTTACTGAGAAATTATATTATCATCTAATGGAGGGTGTTATCGGTGCAATAAAACAATCTGATAAACTTGGTATCCAAGTCTAATAACTATGCAAATTACGTCAGTCCACAAACTACTTTCTCAAAACTCCATACATGCCCATCCTCGATAATCTCCATGGCATATGTTACGAGCACTCTCCACTATACCCTGGATGCATCCACGGCTTGGCCCGATAATTATATTACCTCTTTTGGCTGGCTTTTTATCCACGCTGGGAAGTTGAGCGAACCAATCACAACTCACTTTCGCTTCTTAAATTATCTAACCGTTTAAACTTGGCAACACAATTTATGCAGAGGGTACTCTGAAAGATGTGGAAGGAGTTCTTTTATATGTTTTTTGAAAGTTTCAGATCTGTCAATTTGTCTGTATTATTTCTCCCAAAATCTGAGTGATACTGCGAACTAACCTTCGCAACTGCGACCGCTATCTTTGTTGACACTGGCAAGCTCGGATGTAACGGCGGCTTAGCTGATTGGCTACTGTGAGAATGCGGAGCCAGCAAAGGGAGGTAATATAATTATCGGCCAAGCCGTGGATGCATCCAGGGTATAGTGGGGAGTGATTGTAACATATACTCATAGGCGGATCCAGAAGGATCCTTATGTGCTGAAAGTTTGTTAAATGACCATTGAAACTCAGGTGAAAATGGAGTGTGCACCCCTCCTATTCTCAATAGTGTGCACCCCTTTCTCTGTATGATCTGGAGATTATCAAGAATGATACATGCCATTCCAGTCCTAAAACGTTAACATTTCATTGATGACGTTGTCGCAAGTTTAGATTGCGTGGACAAGTTTGTAAACAAACATGGCTGCCCCCATTATCAAAATTGGTGATTCTGTAAGAATTGATGACAGAGGTTCTGGAATCGTTAATGCAGTAATTGACTTTGGAAAACATGAAACGGAGAACTTTGTTCAAATTGAAGGTACGGATTATTAGGCACGAGTGACAGGCTAAGAAAGGTACCAACCAAGGATTTCCATCTATCAACACAGACAACGAATCGATTCCGTCAGGTATCAGAAACTGATATTGATGAGGTGATTACCCGCAATGAAAACAGAAACACTACCAAGAAGACCCTGCCTGATTTTGTTGTTCTGTTTAGACAGAAAGATCTTATTTTAGGCATGAGTTATGTTTGCACTGTATTAGCGACTAGTCACAACCATATGCCGCCATCATGAACGACCTTCACCTTGGTGTACCACTAAGTATTCTTGCATGAATGCTCGATTCTCTTCATATATAAATATCACGTTTGATTTGCTTCTTTTTAGAGTAATTTTAAGAATGACATATGATAAAGAGATTATTAACCTCGTGTGCTTCTGTATCATTAATATCATATATTAGGAATAAAAAATATGTATTATGCTCGCCGAAGGCTCATATAATACATTCTTTATTCCTAATGTATGATATGTTACAGAAACACACTCGGTTAATAATCTCTATATCCCAAATATATCATGTGTTACTTGTGGTATTTGTTTTGGTACATGGGTAGACAACACCTGGGTATATGCTGCAGGTAGTCACTCACACATGGGTATATGCTGCAGGTAGTCACACCTGGGTATATATGCTGTAGTCATTAGTCACACCTTGGTATATGCTGCAGGTAGTCACTTACACCTGGGTATATGCTACAGGTGGTCACTGACTCGCACCTTGGTATATGTTGCAGGTAGTCACTGACTCACACCTGGTATATGCTGCAGGTAGTCACTGACTCACACCTTGGTATATGCTGCAGGTAGTCACTGACACACCTGGTATATGCTGCAGGTAGTCACTCACACCTGCAGGTCACATACCTGGGTATATGCTGCAGGTAGTCACTCACACACACAGTATATATATATGCTGCAGGTAGTTGCTCACTCACACCTTGGTATATGCTGCAGGTAGTCACTGACTCACACCTGGGTATGTGCTGCAGGTAGTCACTGACTCACACCTGGGTATATGCTGCAGGTAGTCACTGACTCACACCTGGTATATGCTGCACACAAGTATATGCTTCAGGTAGTCACTGACTCACACCTGGTATATGCTGCAGGTAGTCACTGACTCGGTATATGCTGCAGGTAGTCACTGACACACCTGGGTATATGCAGATAGCACCTGGGTATATGCTGCATCACTCACACCTGGCTATATGCTGCAGGTAGTCACTGACTCACACCTGGGTATATGCTGCAGATAGTCACTCACACCTGGGTATATGCTGCAGATAGTTACTCACACCTGGCTATATGCTGCAGGTAGTCACTGACTCACACCTGGGTATATGCTGCAGATATATGCAGATAGTTACTCACACCTGGGTATATGCTGCAGGTAGTCACTGACTCACACCTGGTATATGCTGCAGATAGTCACTCACACCTGGGTATATGCTGCAGGTAGTCACTCACACCTGGCTATATGCTGCAGGTAGTCACTGACTCACACCTGGGTATATGCTGCAGATAGTCACTCACACCTTGGTATATGCTGCAGATAGTTACTGACTCACACCTGGGTATATGCTGCAGGTAGCCACTGACTCACACCTGGGTATATGCTGCAGGTAGTCACTCACACACAAGTATATGCTTCAGGTAGTCACTGACTCACACCTGGGTATATGCTGCAGGTAGTCACTCACACCTGAATATATGCTGCAGGTAGTCACTCACTCACACCTTGGTATATGCTGCAGGTAGTCACTCACACCTGGGTATATGCTGCAGATAGTCACTCACACCTGGCTATATGCTGCAAGTAGTCACTGACTCACACCTGGGTATATGCTGCAGATAGTCACTCACACCTGGCTATATGCTGCAGGTAGTCACTGACTCACATCTGGGTATATGCTGCAGATAGTCACTCACACACGAGTATATATATATGCTACAGGTAGTCGCTCACTCACACCTGGGTATATGCTGCAGGTAGTCATTGACTCACACCTGGGTATATGCTGCAGGTAGTCACTGACTCACACCTGGGTATATGCTGCAGGTAGTCACTCACACACAAGTATGTGCTTCAGGTAGTCACTGACTCACACCTGGGTATCTGCTGCAGGTAGTCACTCACACCTGAATATATTCTGCAGGTAGTCACTCACTCACACCTTGGTATATGCTGCAGGTAGTCACTGACTCACACCTGGGTATATGCTGCAGGTAGTCACTGACTCACACACGAGTATATGCTGCAGATATGTCACTGACTCACACACGAGTATATGCTGCAGATAGTCACTCACACCTGGGTATATGCTACAGGTAGTCACTCACTCACACCTGGGTATGTGCTGCAAGTAGCCACTGACTCACATCTGGGTATATGCTGCAGATAGTCACTCACCTGGGTATAGGCTGCAGACAGTCACTCACACCTGGGTATAGGCTGCAGATAGTCACTCACACCTGGGTATATGCTGCAGATAGTCACTCACACCTGGCTATATGCTGCAGGTAGTCACTGACTCACACCTGGGTATATGCTTCAGATAGTCACTCACCTCGGTATATGCTGCAGATAGTTACTCACACCTGGCTATATGCTGCAGGTAGTCACTGACTCACATCTGGGTATATGCTGCAGATAGTCACTCACACCTGGGTATATGCTGCAGGTAGCAGGAACTGATGGAGCAGCTGCCATTGCAGAGCGTCTCACACAGAAGGGCGTGACAAAACTGGAGTTCCTGTCTGATGAAGGCTTGTGTGTCCTGGATGGCATCGTCCCAGGGATGAAGACGACAACGTCCATGTAGGTAGTCAAGTCATAAGTCACCTCACATCTACCGACTCCCCTGATAGTGTAGCAGGGGGTGGAGTCATCCCACAGATGACATCCTTACCTTGTCAGCTTGCTGACGGGGTTAACCTCTTTGGTTAACCTCTTTGGTCAGTGGTCTGAGGCGGAATCCGACTTCGGATTAGCTACAAAGGTGCCGTAGCTGTGGAGGCATGAATCACTTCCTGCCGGCAGTAAAGTGTTAATCATTTCTCATTACATCATCTAGCTAGTCATCAGCTTGTAAAAATACCCTACAAGGCAAACGTGTACAATTCTCTTGATCGCACATTGAACAGGGCCCAGGTCCCTCTTGAAAATAAACATTCTTAAGATTCTTTTACTTGAGCTACAAATGGTGACCGACCACTTTTGGGCCAATACGGTACTTTAGATGGAAGCTAAATTCAGAATTTACAGTTTGACTGCACAGCCCCAGTAGCTGCGATCCTGTGGTCTCTGAACACAGCTGACAAACTGATGTGCTAAGGAAGTGATCTGCTTTACAGTCAATCATAAACATTTAATTTTGTTAAATTTTGTGAATGATATTTGTGAAGTGTCTATTGAATTCAGGTTTAATTTTATCAAATGAAAATATTTTTAACCTAGTACACCTTAAAACAGAAAAAAACATTGCAGTATGTATCATTTGGAAAGGATGTTATACTGTAGTAGTTTAATATCGTGAGGTCTGAATGTCTGTTATATTGTTTGTCCTGTCAACAGAATCGGTACATCAGAGAAGGGTCAGGTCATCTTGAGGTTAAGGGTCAAGGGCAGCGCTGGTCATTCATCCATGCCACCTCGGGAGAGTTCCATTGGAATCTTGGCAAGAGCTGTGCAACGGTACTGTTGATGATTTGTTTCTGGAATTACTTTGAGTTTGTCCTAAATAAGTGATAAAGTATATTAAAAGTTGTGATTTCTCTAATCAGGATTAATGAGTTGTTGATGGGCAATTGGAATTGTAGCTCACTGTTTTTCTTGTCAATTCGGCATAAAGTTGTGTGGGTTGGCTTGTGGCATGAAGAAGAATAGTTGCTAGTACTTTTAAAATCTTAAAAGTCACATGTATATATATATATGTTTAATCCTGAGAATTAGCAGTTCACAATACATTTGATAAACAGATGAAGTGTTGTTCAAATCAACTCGACAAGATATAACTGAAATGTTGTTGAAAGCTACTCACCCTGATAACTCCCTCACCCACTTTGATCTTTGGAAAGTATCTCCACATTCCTCATGGTGTGATACCATGTGTGTACTGGTATGTACTGGTATGTACTGGTGTGTACTGGTATGTACTGGTGTGTACTGGTATGTACTGGCATGTACTGGTGTGTACTGGCATGTACTGGTGTGTACTGGTATGTACTGGTGTGTACTGGTGTGTACTGGTGTGTACTGGTATGTACTGGTGTGTACTGGTATGTACTGGTGTGTACTGGTGTGTACTGGTATGTACTGGTGTGTACTGGTATGTACTGGTGTGGTCTTGTGCAAAAAACACATGTCAAACATCAGTTGACATTAAGCAACGTTGGTCACAGAGAGTCCTTGGATGGGTGACCATGTTTGACAGCTTGACTCCCGGTGGGGTAGCCTAATGGTTAAAGCGTGGGAAAAGTGTAACAGGTCACCATAGTAGTCCCATAAGGGGTGGTGGGGTAGCCTAATGGTTAAAGCGTTCGCTCGTCACACCGAAGACCCAGGTTCGATTCCCCACATGGGTACAATGTGTGAAGCCCATTTCCGGTGTCCCCTGCCGTGATATTGCTGTAATAATGCTAAAAGCGGCGTAAAACCATACTCACTCACTCCTACCCTCACTCACTCCTACCCCATAACGACTCACATCTAACACAGGTCACACCTTAGGCAAGTAACTTTGTTCAAAATTGCCTCTGTTCAATAAGCAGTGAGTGGGTACCCGGTAGGATGACATGATCATATGAATGTTAACCGTCTAGCACCTCACAGACAGCTTGGGTTGTAGTACATACTGATCCACTGACTGGGGTAATAATGTCTGCTTTGAGCATACACCTTGTGTGTGGAAGTTAGAGCAGCGTAAGTACTCATTATTACTTTGCTACAGGTTGGAGTCGATTGGACACCCCAGCATGTTCGGACATGGACCCGAGAAGGACACGTTTGAACACCTGTCTTCTCAGGTAACACAACATCCAGCACCTACGGTACTCAGCGACCACCATCTTTGTCCTTGGTCCAGAAAGTTCCATAAAGAAGGAATTAAATTTCCCAGTTATACGACATAGAAATTGAAAAGAAGCATAAGAAAGTGTTAAATCTCACTAAGAAAAATTGATAGAAAAATTGAACAAGATTTTAGAAAATTTGTCCTTCATGTTAACATGAAACGACTGCAGGGGGGGGAAATAACTTTAAAATTGCTAGTACATACTCTGGTACAGTGGCACATGTAAAATCACTTGCCCTGATAATGTTTCCACTATACCGGCCATTTTCTCGTTGAATTTTACAATAAACAACATAATTAATATTGGAAAGTCAACTGGACACCGGTACAGTGTGATATACAAATTTGCTTGCCCGACAGAAAAAACCACTGGACTCGGGCATCGGGCAATGGGTTATTTCCACCCCCTGGATTGAATTCTGTCAGATTATAGGGTCTTATTACAGATGTACTTCCCACATCGTATGGTCATGTCCAACCTGTGGCTGTTCACCCCGCTTGTATCATGGTGAGTGTTCCCCACGTAACTTGTTTAATCATGTGAATGTCAGATATGCTCTTGTATCATGTAATTATTCAGAGTTGCTTTCCTTTGCTACACATGGATCTGCTAACCCAAGGTTTTCAATCCAAGATTCAATCCGATTATGATCCTTGGACAGTCAGCACCACAACCTATGCCACTGTGGGTCTTCCTCCACAGTGAGATGTATGTGTGATAGAATACTTAACAAAGCAGCATTGAACACATTCACTCACTCACTCACTCACTCCACTGAGTATGGGTACCTGGTAGTACATGGATTTTGGAGAAGATAGATAAACTTTGACCTTGAGAAAAGAAATGTTTGATATTTGCTGGGATGATTTGATTTACCACTGCTTCATTGTTGTTTTGTTTGAGCACTACTTTTATGTTTCTGTTTCAGGATTTTGTCGAGGAAGCCATCAACTAACGCTGTGTTGCGGACAGTGACAGCAGTCACAAGGTTTGACGCAGGGATCAAGGTCAGTCCAGACACCATGCTGTAGCCATGCATGTGTATCACATATAAAGGAATATAGTGTCAAATCTTCATGTCAGTGTCAAGTCTTCATGTCATAGTGTCAAGTTTTCATGTCAGTGTCAAGTCTTCATGTCAGTGTCAAGTCTTCATGTCATAGTGTCAAGTCTTCATGTCGTAGTGTCAAGTCTTCATGTCATAGTGTTATGTCTTCATGTCATAGTGTCAAGTCTTCATGTCATAGTGTCAAGTCTTCATGTCGTAGTGTCAAGTCTTCATGTCGTAGTGTCGAGTCTTCATGTCATAGTGTTATGTCTTCATGTCATAGTGTCAAATCTTCATGTTGTAGTGTCAAGTCTTCATGTCGTAGTGTCAAGTCTTCATGTCGTAGTGACAAGTCTTCATGTCGTAGTGTTGAGTCTTCATGTCATGGTGTCAAATCTTCATGTCATAGTGTCAGGTCTTCTTGTCATAGTGTCAAGTCTTCATGTCAGTGTCAAGTCTTCATGTCGTAGTGTTATGTCTTCATGTCAGTGTCAAGTCTTCATGTCGTAGTGTCGAGTCTTCATGTCATAGTGTCAAGTCTTCATGTCGTAGTGTCAAGTCTTCATGTCGTAGTGTCGAGTCTTCATGTCGTAGTGTCAAGTCTTCATGTCATAGTGTCAAGTCTTCATGTCATAGTGCCAAGTCTTCATGTCATAGGGTGAAGTCTTCATGTCATAGTGTCAAGTCTTCATGTCATAGTGTTATGTCTTCATGTCATAGTGTCAAGTCTTCATGTCATAGTGTCAAGTCTTCATGTCATAGTGTCAAGTCTTCATGTCATAGTGTTATGTCTTCATGTCGTAGTGTCAAGTCTTCATGTCATAGTGTCAAGTCTTCATGTCATAGTGCCAAGTAATCATGTCGTAGTGTCGAGTCTTCATGTCATGGTGTCAAATCTTCATGTCATAGTGTCGAGTCTTCTTCTTATAGTGTCGAGTCTTCATGTCATAGCATCAAGTCTTCATGTCATAGTGCCAAGTCTTCATGTCATAGGGTCAAGTCTTCATGTCATGGTGTCAAATCTTTATGTCATAGTGTCGAGTGTTCATGTCATGGTGTCAAATCTTCATGTCATAGTGTCGAGTCTTTTCTTTTAGTGTCGAGTCTTCATGTCATAGCATCAAGTCTTGTGTCTTCCTAGATTCTTGGCTTTTTAGTTTATTGCAAAATTAAACTGTAGTGTTTTGTGTGTATTGTTGTCCAGTGTGATTGATGGAATATATTGCAGGACAATGTGTTACCTCCCGAGGCCGTCGCAATCGTCAACCACCGCATCCACCCAGCACAGACTGTCCAGGAGGTAGGGTACACCTGAGTTATCTTATCTCACACTTAATGTCGATTTCTGATTGGCTATGTTACCCGCTGGGAATGCCAAACTGTGGGAATTCACCTGGTACTTCGTGTTTGTAATTCTATATCTCAATTAATTGATGCAGAAATTACTGATGTTTTGCGAATGCAAATCGACGGAAGGGAGATGACACTAAAGTTGTGTTCCTTGTCATCTGCTGGATTCTTTGTCATCTGAAAATCGAGTATTGGCTAAAGGGGACGGTGGGGTAGCCTAGTGGTTAAAGCGTTGATCCGGCCACCTGGGTTGAATCCCCACATGGGTACAATGTGTGAAGCCCATTTCTGGTGTCCCCCCCCGTGATGTTGCTGGAATATTGCTAAAAGCGGCGTAAAACCAAACTCAGTCAGTCAGTAGTATTGGCTAAAACTGTTGCACCTTATTATGATCCGACACCCGTGTTTCAAACAGTTCAAAATTAACATTGAGGTATTCGGTAACATAAATAAGTTGTTCACTGGTCCATTCGGGCTCAGGGAACATAAACTAACATAGAGGGTACATGAACCCATGCCCCCCTCATGACCAGTGAACAACTGATAGTATCTCCCTTAGTTTACAGATGTGAGATGTTTGTTATTGTGCCTGTGATGTAGATGTATTGGTAACTGGAGTAGACATGTCTTCACTTCCTGAAACTGACTGTTGCAAATGTGTCCTCTCCATCTTAATCAGTAACACAATCTATCGCTGTTGTAAACAGGTGATAGACTATGACCGCTTGTTGATTAATGATGACCGAGTTCAGATTGAAGTGAAGTACGCACAAGAATCTCTTCCCATGTCACCGTACGGGCCTGACGACTTTGGCTACCAGGTCATCAAAAACAGCATCCGTCAAGTGTGGAACGACACTGTAGTAGCTCCAGGTATTGTAATGTGTGGCAGGACACCATAGTAGCCATAGAAATGGTGGGAAAAGTGCAGGGAGGGGAATGTGTGGCAGGAAACCATAGTAGCCCCAGGTAGGGAGGGGAATGTGTGGCAGGAAACCATAGTAGCCCCAGGTAGGGAGGGGAATGTGTGACAGGACACCATAGTAGCCCCAGGTAGGGAGGGAAAAGTGTCACATTACACCATAGTAGCCCCAGGTAATAATAATAATAATGATGATGGTACTTATACAGCGCCGTACTCCACACCACAAAGGGACATGCTCAAAGCGCACATAAACAGCACAACATTATTACCCTCGATAACCCAAGCTGCAGGTTATAGTCACATAACTTATCCCACCGGATATCCATTTTCTGCTGGGTGAACAGAGGCAATTTTGAACAGACTGATTTTCCTGAGGTTGGAAAAGTGTAATTGGTCACCACAGTAGCCCCAGGTAGGGAGGGAAAAGCGTGGCAACTCACCGTAGAAAACATCGCCATATAAATGGGGTAATCTTGAACACAACATTAAGCCCACATGATGTGATCCCACCCCAATGTCCACGATCTGGAGCCTCAAGGTGTGACCTGTGTTTCCTATACTTCAGGTGTAATGATAGGCAACACAGACACTCGTCACTACGTCAACCTCACCCACAACATCTACAGGTTCTCACCCACGTACATGTACCCCGACGACGTGGCACGCTTCCATGGCGACAATGAAAGGATATCGGTGAAGAACTATGAGCAGGCTATCAACTTCTTCTACCATCTGATCCAGAATGCAGACAAACCCGGGCTCAAGACGTTCCACAGTCACAGCGAACTGTAACATGGTTGGAGTTACTAGCAGGGAGCAGGGAGCTGCTAGTCTTGTCATCATAGTTGTAGGGAGCATACAACCCAAGCTGCAGCAGGTGCTTGATGGTTAACACCATCAATATCTCATCCTACCGGGTACCCATTCGCTGCTAAGGCATATTTTGAGCAAAGACACATCAGCGCTAGTCTTGTACACACAGAGAACAAAGGTTCATGGTGTCCATGATAATTTATGCATTTAATAATTTGTGATTTTATGAGCACACCTATATCAAACCTTCATCTCCTCTGTCAGACTTTCATTTGCATGTTATATCAGACCTTCACTCACCTGTAACTGACCTTCACCCTCCTGTATCACCTGTAACTGACCTTCACTCACCTGTGTCAGACCTTCACCCTCCTGTATCTGACCTTCACTCACCTGTATCAGACCTTCACCCTCCTGTATCACCTGTAACTGACCTTCACTCACCTGTGTCAGACCTTAACTCACCTGTATCTGACCTTCACTCACCTGTATCAGTCCTTAACTCACCTGTATCTGACCTTCACCTTCCTGTAACTGACCTTCATCACCTGTATCTGACCTTCACTCACCTGTATCTGACATTCACTTACCTGTGTCAGAACTTCACTCACCTGTATCAGACCTTCACTCACCTGTATCAGACCTTAACTCACCTGTAACTGACCTTAACTCACCTGTATCTGACCTTAACTCACCTGTATCTGACCCTTGCCCATGTGGTGTATCAGTCCTTCACCCTAATGTTGGTCATATATTCGATTGACCTTTTTTTTCAGGATCCTCCTTTAAGAGACTAAATGTACTCTATTATGAAAGCCTTGATCCTCCCCAAATTTGTATAGAAATATTTATGACTCTGTGGTATATTTTGGTGACCCTCCTGGTTCCTTCTGACACACTCACCGCCATTATAAACGACTCTTATCATTACAAGGTCCCTGCTGCTGCAGCATTTTCAAACTTAAGATTTTTTCATTGCAGTCAAGAATTTGAAAGATATATGGTATCCAGAAATATAGTGTTAATAATTACATTCCAGTATAGTCCAACATTCCTAGTGGACTATTACTGATCTCCTGAAATAGCTTGTGCCTACCTCTCATATATTTCACAAACTTCAGTCTTACACTTGTATTGTTATCCAAACATGGGGGTCTGTGATGTGATGACAATGAATAAGAATGATGTGGTGACTTCAGAAACCAAGAGACAGTGGAAATAGACCCAAGCTGCAGCAAATTAGTGTACTGTCATAGACAACAAAGTGTCATGGTGATTGTCTGGATCAGGAATAGAGTTGTATATCATGTGTATATCTGTGACATACAGGCTTCATGTGTATATGTGTGACACAGGCTTCATGTGTATATCTGTGACACAGGCTTCATGTGTATATATGTGTCATACAGGCTTCATGTGTATATCTGTGACACAGGCTTCATGTGTATATCTGTGACATACAGGCTTCATGTGTATATCTGTGACATACAGGCTTCATGTGTATATGTGTGACATACAGGCTTCATGTGTATATCTGTGACACAGGCTTCATGTGTATATCTGTGACACAGGCTTCATCTGTATATCTGTGACACAGGCTACATGTGTATATCTGTGACACAGGCTTCATGTGTATATCTGTGACACAGGCTTCATGTGTATATCTGTTGTACAGGCTTCTTTACAGTTCTGGTATATCAGACAGCTTCATTGTATATCATGTGACACAGGCTTCATGTGTATATCTGATACAGGCTTCATTTATATCTGTGTAAAACAGACAGTTGCATTCATACATTTTGGTAAAACAGTGTATATCATATGTATACAGAGATACAGGCTTCCTTTACAGTACTGGTAAAACAGACAGTTGTATATCATATGTATATCTGTGAGATACAGGCTTCCTTTACAGTACTGGTAAAACAGACAGTTGTATAGATACAGTTGTCATGTATATCATGTGTATGTATATCTGTACATCTTTGTACTGGTAAAACAGACAGTTGTATATTGTATGTATATCTGAGATACAGGCTTCTTTACAGTACTGGTAAAACAGACAGTTGTATATCATATGTATATCTGTGAGATACAGGCTTCCTTTACAGTACTGGTAAAACAGACAGTTGTATATTGTATGTATATCTGTGAGATACAGGCTTCTTTTACAGTACTGGTAAAACAGACAGTTGTATATCATATGTATATCTGTGAGATACATGTACACTACCGGTATATATCTGTGAGATACAGGCTTCCTTTACAGTACTGGTAAAACAGACAGTTGTATATTGTATGTATATCTGTGAGATACAGGCTTCCTTTACAGTACTGGTAAAACAGACAGTTGTATATTGTATGTATATCTGTGAGATACAGGCTTCCTTTACAGTACTGGTAAAACAGACAGTTGTATGTATATATCTGTATACAGGCTTCCTTTACTGGTAAAACAGACAGTTGTATATTATATCTGTGAGATACAGGCTTCCTTTACAGTACTGGTAAAACAGACAGTTGTATGTCATATCTGTGAGATACAGGCTTCCTTTACAGTGCTGGTAAAACAGACAGTTGTATATTGTATGTATATCTGTGAGATGCAAGCTTCCTTTACAGTACTGAGTCCCATGTCACACAATTATTTTAGTGCTGAGACGCTCGTCATTTCCATTCTTTAACATAGACTTAGATCATCTTTAAGTGCTTAAGATAGTGTTAAGCTTTGTGGCATGAGACCCTGGGCCTAGATTTTGTAAGCTCTCTTAGCGCTAAGGTAGTCGTAAGTTATTGTTAATATATGGCACCTACGACTATCATAGCGCTAAGACAGCTTCGAAAATCTAGGCCCTGGTCTGTGTGGCTTGCATCAGCTGTTCTGTCAAGACCAGACTGACATTCATCAAACTTACTGTTCAATGGCCACAATATTAACATATACAAAGACATATTATATTACAGACATCATATTTAAAGAAAACAAAACCGACAAAACCAATGAACTAGAAAAAGAAATCCAAATGTTAGAGGATGAAATTAGAGAAAACTTTCAAGGTGTAACTGAGGAAATGATTGCAAAATTAACTAAGAATATGAGGGAACTTGAAATAATAAAAGATGAGGTAGAAAAAGGAAGACAAATAAGAAGCAGAATTCAATGGTATGAGGAAGGGGAAAAACCAACCAATTACTTTTGTCATTTGGAAAACAAACTATACAAGTAAAACTATCAATTCTCTTTTTAATGCAAAGGAAGAACTTTTGACTGATGGAAAAGATATTTTCAATGAACAAAAACAGCATTAGGTATATGCTGGAATTGATATTGACTGTGAAGCACTAGAAATCTTATACACCAATAATCAAGAGAACAACTGTATGTAGAAAATATGAAGAAGGTGGATTAAGAATGATAGATATCAAATCCTTTATAAGTGCACTAAGGTAATCCTGCCTCAGAAGGTATGTAAAGAAAATGTCAACGCACAATCCCAGTTTATTTCCATTCAACAAAATATTTTTTCTTGGTGCACATAGTCACAGTCATGCAAGCATTGATAACCCAATTTGGAGTGATGTTGTATCTATTTGGAGTAAATATTATAAACAACAACATAAGATAAATACTTGTCAACCAGAAGAAATCTTGGCTGAACCTTTGTGGTTGAACCACCAATATAGAAATAGTAATTCCTTGATTGAAGATTGGTTTAGCAGAGGTATTCATACAATAAGAGATATATGGGGTGAAAATGGTTTTTTGCCTTTCAATGAAATACAAAAGCTTTACTGCATCAATGAAACAGTTTTAGAGTACAATAAAATCATCTTAGATATTCCCAAATCTTGGAAAAATACTCTTTTATCTGATCCCATAAGTACACAAAACCTCTCACTAAACTCAAGTCTTCAAGACCTACTTTCTCAAATGAAGGGATGTAGAATTTTCTATGACAAACTTATAGCAAATGATACCCCACCTACAGTTTGTCAGAAATGGCAGAATGAACTAAATATAGATATTTCATGGAACATCGTGATTAAAAAATACAGAAACTGCACAAAGGATGTAAAGCTTTTAGATTTTCAGTATAGATTTATAAACAGAGCAATTTATACTAGAAAAGAGTTGATGCAAATGAAGATAATTGAAACAAATATTTGCTCTTTTTGTAAATCTGAACCAGAAAGCCTCCAACATGTATTCATAAAATGTAATCTTTTAACAGGAATTTTGGAGAATCCTTTATTAATCCTACACATTGTGATGTTCCCATTTCTGATCAAGACATTCTCTTTTGCAACAGTTCAGCTATTCTACTAGCAACACACATTATCCTGTTGGCCAAAAAATATATTCATTCTTCAAGTATAAAACAGAATGAACTATCCATTGACTGTCTTGCTAATATCGTCAAGGATGTGTACAAAGTAGAAAGAATTATTGCTTGTAAGAACAATGCTTTGCCTAAATTTAATTCCAAATGGAAACCTCTGAACAATGTATTACAGATATAATTCTACACCTGACATGTCCATCATTTTATGAGCGCTTCACTGTATATGCTTTGAAAAACAATGATATGATATATGTATCTACACCTGCTGAAGTAAAATGAATAAAAAGAATGTGAAAAAAAAACAAAACATATACAAAGACATACAATGGCTATAGTTTAGACATTCCATGGACACAGTAGCGACAACTGACAATCAGAAGTCAGAATATGAACACTAATTCTCCTTTATGCATGTGAGAGCATTCATGTTTTCGTTCTAATAATCAAATTGGTCATTCCATATACACTGATCTCATTCATATATTGTATCATCATAATTGGCGCTGGGTTATGTCCCTTTGGTGTACCATGAACCTGTGATCAAAGATTTGAATCCCATTGTGCTCTCATTGTGTTAGTCAGGATGGGTTTTATCAAAATGGCTGGCTTCCCTGCCAGATCAAGCTGACATGCTGTGATAGAACTGATACACTGTTAGAGACATCCTCGATAATCTCCGGGGTATACACTCTGATAAATCTCCAATAGTACCCTGGATGCATCAACGCCTCGGCCTGATAATTGTATTAACTCCCTTTGCTGTTTTTTATCCAATCAGGTGTCTACACTGGGAAGTTGAGCATACCAATCACAAGGCTTCTATCATAATTCACTTCCACGTCTTCCGTAAACAGTAATAATGGCAGTGGAAACAATTGATTTCGATAGGTTGTGTTGTTGATTCAAATTAGAAAAGTAGACTTCCGTTCAGGAAAAATCTGATGATTTTTTCCCTAAATGTGAGTCGCACAGTGAGCAAACCTTGCAGCTGCGGCCGTCATCTTTGTTGACAGTGGCAAGCTCAGTTGTAAAGGCTTATGTGACTGGCTGCTGTGGGAAGGTGGAGCCAGCAAAGGGAGGTAATACAATTATCGGGCTGAGATGCATCCAGGGTAGTAGTGGAGATTTATATCGGAATGTATACCCTGGAGATTATGTGTTACAGAGAGCGTTATGCCCAACTCACTAGTACCCTAGCACGGAGGTGGTTGTTAGTTTAACAGTTTACTTTGAGAACAAATTAACAATATGAACCTTATGTTCTGTTTCCAGTTTATACTGCAGTGGCATATTTCTATTTTTAACATTTTTACTATTTTGTCTTTCCACATTCCATCTTTCAGTCAGGACAGTGGTGTACATGGGTCTAGTCCCACCCAGGATGTAGGTCTGGGATAAAGTCATTATTGGTGTTGTTGGCTGTGATGCTGCAAGTCAACAGATTTGTCATATCTCAATTACTCACTCCTCAATTGGGTAGCCTAGCGGTTAAAGTGTCCGCTCGTCATGCTGAAGGTACAGGTTTGATTCCCCACGTGGGTACAATGTGTGAAATCCATTTCTCGTGTCCCTCGCCGTGATATTGCTGGAATATTACTAAAAGCGGCGTAAAACCCAACTCACTCACTCACTCACCACTCCTCAATGGGGATCTGAGTTGGTATAGGTCCCCAGCAACCTGTGCTAGCCATATAGATGACTTAATGGATTCCACGATTCCATCCATGACTTTGTTGATACTTAACTCCTTTGAATCATTGATCTATTCTAGTCACTGGATTGTTTGGTCTTGTGTAGATGGAATATTTCCAAGTGCTGTGTTAAACATGATAAAAAAAACATCCTGTGAATTATATATTTAGATTTGCATAAGAAATTTCCAGTTTCCATTCCTCTAACCAATTTGCAAATGCTGCTACTACGATATTCCATTAGATGTGACCTTTACAACTTGATTCTTTCTTGACCAGTTGATTTTGAAAGACAATAATCAAATGTGCATCCTTAGCTGTTACCACGTATTGCATATCCTGTGTTGTAATAGACTTGTGTGTAACTGTTTGATTGGCTTGTTAGAAGTTGGTATATAACTGTAAAGGCAAAATATTTCATGGATGACAACTTCTTGTTCTATTGTGATAAAAGTTTGGATATCGGTTCTTATACCTTAGTCAAGTATGATTCTTATACCATAGTCGAGTATGATTCATATACCATAGTCGAGTATGATTCATATACCATAGTCGACTATGATTCTTATACCATAGTTGAGTATGATTCTTATGCCATAGTCAAATTTTCAGGTATTCCCCGCCACGATATTGCTGGAATATTGCTAAAAGCGGCGTAAAACCATGCTCACTCACCATAGTCAAATAAGACAGCACTGTACATCGCATCATAATTGAATAGAAATGATGTCCTCATTCAAGTATTTTGCCTTTACAAATTGTGCTTTGTTGTTATTCCACATGTTGTATCTGAACACATTTTTTAGACATTTTATGATATATTGTTGTTTGTATATATGTTTACCTGCTTCCTTGTCCAAGGTCACAAATGATACTTATTGCCAGATACCTGTTTGTATCAAATTAGTCTGGTCAGTCTGTGTTGATGTACAGATTGGTCAAGATATATACAAGCTAACAATACTTTTCAGGGTTGAGTTGAGATAAATATTATAAATAAAAACAGACTTAAATATATTTTTATACTTATTCTGACACATATTGCATACATGTTATAAAATTGTTCCATTTAGTTTCTAGACCAGTTTGAAGGAATGAAGTATGTGATAGAGTAAGTCATAATTACATCAATTTTATTTGAAATCCATAATTCTCCAAAATTACAAATTATACCACATTGGGTAAAATGGTGTGTAATATGTTTCCACCTGTTGTGAAGGAAGACAAAATAGTCTGTCCAGACTAACACTCTCCCAGCAGGCTTTGACCACGCTTTAATCAACTGTGTGGGTATGGTATAGCTGCTTGCTACATTTCTTGCAAGTCAACATTTGTTATTTAGGCCAGACCAATTTTCTTTCTTGTTTTACAGATCTGCCGGACATATTTTTTCAAGAATAAGAAAAGAAATCAAAATTAATTCTCCCCCCTCTAAAAATAAATCCTAATGTTAATGTGATATAAATGAAATACTCTTGAAATCAGTGTGAAACCTAAGCTCACTCAACTTATGACCCCTGAAGGTCCGGGATAGAATTGATCTTCAGTAACCCATGCTTGTGGTAAGAGGCGACTTATGGGATCAGGTGGTCAGGCTCGCTGACTGGGTTGACATATGTCATGATTGTCATTGTATCCCAATTGCATAGATCGATGTTCATGCTGTTGATCCCTGGATTGTGTGGTCCAGACTCGATTTTTTACAGGACAAAAATCGGTAAAACAAGAAATAAAATTGGTCTGGCCTTACGAAATATAAATCAGGAAGAAAATATAACAGTTAATTGACTATTGCCTTGACATGCATTTATTCAGTTGCAACAGTGAATCTGTTTGTATTATTACTATTATTATGAATGTATGGCAGTTGACTCTTGTTTGTTGGTAATTCCTGGAACCAACGGAAATTAAAACATTCCTAAAAAATTCCACTTTTTAACCCAGCTTGGTTGATACTTTCTTCATCCCAAACAACTACATCGTGCACATAACAAGAGCCAACTGTCTTTCATATTTTGAGATTTTTATTCTTCAGAATTCCAACAAATACTTGGCACATTTCCATGAAGCTTTGAAATAAAGAAGCATATAAGTGTATTTGACATATTGTTTTATTGAACACATAGAACAGCCAGCTGTTGAAGGAAAGCAACTGTCGTCAGCAGAGCTATTTTTTCAGTTGCTTTTGGATTTTTCAAAAAAAAAGAATCATTTCAACAGGGAGGAAAAAATACATACAGAATTTTACAAGACATTATTTTGTTAGTTGGTTTATGTAATTAATTTTAAAGCATGACAGATTAAGTAGGCTCAAATGAAAGAATCGTATGTTCTTAACTTCTTTTATTTAGTATACAAATGGGATCAAAACTCGGACACATTCCATACATTGAAACGACATTTTACAGCTGTGATGTGCCATGAAGAGTCAACAATATTTTCAGGTTTCAAATGCTGTTTGACTATGGTTTTGATGAACCAATCAAACACACACAAGCTCATTTGATACCTCTGACTTAGTGAGGCAATGACTCCCTATAGCTAGAGTTACACCTTGTCTCATGTGTAAATGGCCACATAACAGGCTTATAATTCACAAAACAAGATGGCCGACTTGATCACAACAGGATCAAAAGGTGGTATTTATATAAAACTTCAACTTGAGGAGATATAAGGTTTCATTAATATCGGTTAAAGGAAACATGGAAAACATTCTAAAAAATACAACTTCTTTTCTTGTTGACAAACTGAATTCATCTTTATGGGCACTGTGCAACTCTGTTCAAAATAACAACACTTCTGTCACTGTAATTGTTGCCTTTTTATATCAAATACTACATCTAAAGTAAACTGCAGATGAATTAAAATCATACATACATATGTACATTCACTATATATTCTCCTTAACATTTACAGAGGAGAGAGGGGCGGTGGGGTAGCCTAGTGGTTAAAGTGTTCACTCGTGACGACGAAGGCCTGGGTTCCATTCCCCACATGGGTACAAAGTGTTAAGCCCATTTCTTGTGTTGCCCGCCGTGATATTGCTGGAATATTACTAAATGCGGATGAAACTACAGAGAAGAGCCCACTGTGATGCAGATGGTTACCATTTTGTTGGAACTAAATCGTACAGTGCTGATACAGAATGGGTTTGGTGCTGACACATAATCAGGGTGAACATGGATTTAAACCCACTGTCATATCAACTCTGTACAGTGAATTGTCGGCCTAGACCACAGGGCCACCTATGACCCAACTGTACTTAGAAATTGACACATAACAATTTTCTTAATGAAATCGGACCAGCTGACATCTGAGAAAATTGTATGAATCAAAAGAAATATGATTAGACCTTTTGGTAGTGGTTATGTACATGACGAACTAAAGATGAATATCATATTCAGTGTTCTCAGAACACGGGGCTTGACAATAAATAAAAAAATGATTTAACCTAAAAATTGAAAGCAAGAATATAAAATTGGAAAAGCACTACATGTTAAGCTGAACCTGTATGTTCTACACACAAATATTGTACAAAACAGGTAAAACTACAAGACTACAAGTGAAACTAGGTTAAACAATAAACTGTAAACTCTCTACCATTTAAACTGACACACTATTGGACTCATAATTACTGGCAAACAAGGATAAGTTGGACCAGCGCAGAGAACACGTTTACGAGAAGTAGGTGGTGCACGGCAATGAGGAAACACATTTGGTTTGTGAAAGGTAGAGCAGATGCAGGCTAGTGCATGTGCATTGCATGACACGTGCTGCACACGCCTTGCTTCACCCATCGCACTACACTTGATCGCGGACAACCTGGGTCCCTTCGCTAACAATGGCAAGCGCCAGTGGGTGGCACTCATACATGCTAATACAGGTCAGTTGTCAGGTCGGTGCTCAACTCATCCTTATTTGCCAGTAAGTCTATAGCAAGTCATGAGTCAGCTACTCTTACAATCCAGAAATATACCACTCAAGATTGTAGAGGGATAGGAGAATTTGACTGAGATATGTTGTCATGAAAATAGTATATGCAGCTTTGTTTTGTTTATCAGTAATAAATAAACAGTTCACTAATTTGTTGTCATCACATTACTTCACTATAAGAAATATCTCAGTATCCCTATCAAAATGTGAGTAGTATTATCTATAACTGCTACAGTTGTTGGCTTAGTGCTGGATAGTTGTTCGCTCAACACTGAAAGTCTCTACCCATCCTCCTCCATCTCAGCTGTCGTCGCTGGTGCGGCTGCTGTAGAGGGGGTTGTGGAAGTTGATGTTGTCGGGGTGCTGGAAGGTCCCCGTGTCGTCCTGGTGAGCCTGGAGGCGAGCAAACGATAAACTGCTGTCTGACCCCTGGGAGACGAGAACGGCATTATTACCTCGGACACAACATGCTGCCGTTTCACGATCTCTACAGACCTCAATAGCACTAACCTTAATTTCGGTAAGCATAGCTGTCACAATACAAGGTATCAGGAATTGCTGATTTGAATGACTGATCAAATAATCAGCCAATCAAAATCTTAAGGTATTCGTATTTCTTTTTTACAAATTGAGCTAAGGACTGGCTAATCAAAATGTAGATTTCTTGAAGTTAACATTCATGATCAGAGATGCCAACCTCTACGATTTTATCGTAGTCGCTATGAATTTTAGCCTCAAACTACACCAATATGATTCCACTAGAAATTCTACGAAAGTTGAAGAAAATTCATTAAAATTCGGATATATTGACAAAAACCTATATTCGTCGATTAAATACATTTTCGCCAAAACGAGATGACAAGATGAAACGTAATGCTGATAATTTGGAAATCTGCTGTTGGAGGTATGTGAAATTAAAGCTTCACTCTTGAGTGTCATTATTTTTCTCTGAGTCCATCATGATATTAAGTATTTAGTTGACTACTAATTGTATGGTCAAACTACTAATTTTGATCCTTGAAAGTACTATTTGCAACACTCTGGGGTTGGCATCTCTGCATGATAAGGAATTCCATTGTTCTCAAGGTGCTCACTTATAGCAGGAAGGGGTTTCTCATTAAATAAATATATTTCTCTTCTTATAAAATCATTTCAATTCCAAAACATGATGGTTTATATATTTACAAAAATATTAAACAAGTACATGATATTTACAAAAGCTGAATTGCTGAAGTTAACAGACAAGAAACTAAGTCCATATTTTAAAAATGTCCATGGAATAACAGTTTATGACAAATAAGGGAGTGTCACTATCGAGGAAACCTGTGAAGATCCGTGTTAGAATTGGTCTTCGGCAACCCATGCTTGTCATAAGAGGCGACTAACAGGATCGGGTGGTCAGGCGCTGACTTGGTTGAAGCATGTCATTGTACCCCAATTGCATAGATTCAATGCTCATGATGTTGATCACCGGATTGTCTCTGTCCAGATTCAACAATTTACAGACCGCTGCCATATAGCTGGAATATTGCTTGAGTGCAGCATTAAACAACAAACCATCCAAACTATTGAGGAGCTGAAGAACATATATTTGTCATCAAGAAAACTGAGTGCTGAGACAAGGACTGTTGCGTCCCCAAATGCACTAAATGTGGAGTTAAGGGACAGTTTCATGAACTTATTGCATGCTACAACTGTCATGACTCCCATAGCTCAACAAGAGTTACACCACTGTAGTCGTTAGCCCTGCGATCACTTTGTGAAACAGGCCCTGATATTCACATGTTTCCATAGCAACAATGCACCTTTATCACTCTAATAGCAATGGTTTATCGTACATAACTGACCTTTCTCAATCTCCTCCAGACATCCATGAACCCCGTGACCTTTGTCCGGCGATACACCAGCACAGCGATGATGATCGTGATGATGATGAGGAAGATGAGAACGCCGATGACTGCTCCAACTATCTGGCCAGTCTGTAACAGATGACTTTTTCATTGCAGGCATGGCCTTGTCACAATACAGAAGAAGGTCATTCTGATCTACAGGCTATTCCATTTTTGATTTTGAGTGAGTGAGTGAATATGGTCTGGTTTCACTTTTAAGTAATCCAGCTAAATAACGGCAGTGGTTGTCAGGGAAACAAGAATATGTTCCTTCAAGAACACTTGTGTGGATAATGATTATGATTATCAGGAGGATGCCGTCTCCCTTCAAGGAACCCAGATGCTAAGCCGAATGTTATTCCGGATTCCAAAGTGTGGTATGCTATATGCCATGGAATAGTTACTGAAACACAGATGCCAATATTTCAACCACAAATCGTCTCTTCTTCTTGCAAAGAGTGACAAAACAATAACATATTTAGCCCTAATAACATAAGCATGCATGGTCATGCATTCTATTTGAAAATCCCCATCTGGTTTACTTGTACCAGCTGTGTTTAAGGATATGGTTCTTAGGCAAGTGAGTTTGTTCAAAATTGCCTCTGTTCACCAAGCTGTAAATGGGTACCCAGTGGGATAAGTAATATGACTATTAACCTTCTAGCGCCTCACTGAACATGTTGTATGTGTTTAGAACATGCCTATGCTGCATGTTCATTGCCAAGTAAGTGGCTTTATCATTATTATCATTATATGGCTCAAAAGACCTTAAACTTGATGCCCAGACAATGAAGGAGGGTGTTCTGTGATGTTTCTCGACAAACACGGAGATCTTGATGACAATGCTTCCTGTCATTACTGATGATGCCACACAATCAGCCAGCTACCATATCTTCACCACACAGTTATATCATAATCCACATATAATGTCCAGCAGTATGTATCGTGTCACCAATCACCTGTTGCCAACCATGCATCCCACTAACACTGATACAGACACACATACTTACTCCTGCCTTCCCTGTGGTGGTCGGACCTGTTTTCACTCCAGGTTTCTGTAAACATATATGTGATATGTGAGTGAGTGAGTTTAGTTTAGCTTTACGCCGCACTCAGCAATATTCCAGCTATATGGTGGCGGTCTGTAAATAATCAAGTCTGGACCAGACAGTCCAGGGATCAACAGCATGAGCATCGATCTACACAATTGGGAACCAATGACATGTGTCAACCAAGCCAGCGAACCTGACCATCCGATTCCATAGTCGCCTCTTACGACAAGCAAGGGTTACTGAAGACCAATTCTAACCCGGACCTTCACGGGTATACGTGATATGTACACTGTTTACATCCATGTACTGGAAGGCCATCTATTGATTGATACAACATGATATATCTGTGATATCAGTCAGTTATAATTACGATAGCACTCTTTTGCTGTTAGGTCTTCCATTAATACAACATGATACATCTCTAATATGAGCCACTTACATCAGATACATCACCAGGGTACCACTGTACTTCTAGGTCATTTATTGATACACTATGATATATCTGTGATATATGTCATTTCACAACACATAACTGACTGACTGACTGACTGACTGAGTGAGTTTGGTTTTACGCCGCTTTTAGCAATATTCCAGCAACATCACGGCCGGGGACACCAGATATGGGCTTCACACATTGTGCCCATGTGGGGATTCGGACCCGGGTCTTCGGCGTGACGAGCCAACGCTTTAACCATTAGGCTACCCCACCGCCCCACAACACATAACTAGAGTTGCTAAATAGAATCAGGTTCCTTAACTTCTTTTGAGGAGTATAACTCTGAAGGTCATGTTTCCGAACAAAAATACAAGATAAACACAATTACAAGTATGGTCAAGCAAATCAAATTTCTGTTCAGTAAATAAAATTTACAAGATATCTTTCACTTTCCAAAACATTCCATTGTAACTTGAAATGCACGACAGTGATTTGCTATACATGTGGATGACTTACGTTGTCTTCATCAGCCCACAGAGGGCGCTGTATGAGGTGGATATAGCCGTTCAGTGTCTGGATGTTGGGGTCGACAATCTGGATGCCGTTCACTTGATACTGAAATCAGAAGACACCATGGTTCGGTACCCCTTGTGTTACAGAGCCAATTCCATGGTTATAGTTGTCATGGTAACATTAAAATATGTTACATTAGTGTCTGTTACTTTAGTCCAATGTTTCTCATATGAAACCTGTTACAAATATACTGCTGTAGAATTGGACTATGACACAGATGAAAATGTTTAACTGGCAATATAATTCACATACAAATACAGGCATCCCTCGCCATAACGCGGGTCTTGGGGTCCATGGATGACTCCCCGTGTTATTAGACACCCGCATTATAGTAACGATTACATAACGCGGAACAAAGGCCAAGTAAAATCGTATTTTCCATGAACATCATTGGGCAACTTTTTTTATGGGAGCCACAGATTACCCCGCGGTTTAACCGAATCCACGGTATTGCGAAGAGCGTTATTGTGAGGGATGACTGTATCAGGGATCCTAGAATATTCTCAGTGAAAAAGGAGGGGGAAAACACGTATCCAGTTCACACTCTCTGTGTGAGTGTGTGGTTGATACACTACTTACATACGACCCATTCTGTGTGATGACCAGGGACTGACCATCAAGTGACTCTACAGTTAGAGGGAGGGACAGCGACGTGTTCAGGTACACACGTGTGTTGTTAACGACGTGGTTATTCAGGTCCTGAAGGCTCAGCATCTGTAACAGAGGCAGATACTAAATATCAGTCGGTTTTTACAAGACGAGATGGATCCAGGGTGGGGCGCAGGGGTGGATCCAGAAGTGAAATGTATGGGTGGACCCAAATGTGGATTCATTGGTGGAATTCTGAATTGCAGTGGTGGCACCAAGCATTGAGGTGCAGAGGTCTACCAGAAGTTGAATCCAGCATTGAGGTGTATAGGTGGATCTGGAAGTTGGTGTGCAGAGGTGAAGTGAAGGGATGGATCCAGGGGTTAGACTGACTGACTGACTGAGTTTGGTTTTACGCCGCTTTTAGCAATATTCCAGCAATATCATGGCGGGGGACACCAGAAATGGGCTTCACTCATTGTACTCATGTGGGGATTTGAACCCGGGTCTTCGGTGTGACGAGCCAACGCTTTAACCACTAGACTACCCCACCGCCCCTCCAGGGGTTAGATCCACTGTTGAGATATACACGTGGATCTGGAGTTGGTGTGCAGAGGTGAGGTGAAGGGACGGATCCAAGGGTAAGTTCCATGTGTTCTGGAACTGACAGAGGAAGGAACGGAGATGGAGAAGAGAGTGATCTAAGCAACTACCTCTATGACAGTGCTATGAGATTCTTACATCAAGGTCCATGATAGAGTCATCAACTGGCACAAAGACTGTGATGGACTTGAAACGATCTTTCAGCAGATCTGTCAAGTTCTGCGCCGATGGATCGGAGACAAGGAATTCCAGACTCTGCAAAATATTGATGTTTGGGGATTATCTTACATCAGACAACATTGGGGGTATACCTTACATCAGACAATATAAGGGGAATAGGGTATATCTTACTTCACACAATATGAATATGAGAGAATAGGGTATATCTTACTTCACACAATATGAGAGAATAGGGTATATCTTACTTCACACAAAGGGGCATAAATCAGTTGGCAGTACCCTGGCACAATGACCTTGCGATGCTCACCTCAAAGAAGCGGAGAGTGAAGGGGAGATAAGACAGTGTGTCATAAGCGTCTCTGTTGCACCACGTTCCGTTACCAACATAGCCGTTCAGACATTTGCACAATACGCTTCCGTTGGTGATATCTGTCACTGAAAATTTACAAAACACACGTTAAGACTCCATCATCACTGACCTAGGATACAAGCTCACAAACAAAATGAACATTTGACTGGAAGACAGAAACACTGATCTTATAATGGGCCAAGAGAGCTAGTGTGGAGGTCTTTGTTCCTAGCTTTAGACTTTTAAGCTGAGTTCATATATACACATTGAAAAAAGTATAGTATATCAGTATAGTATATAGTATCAATATGTTCCCACTAATCATAGCAAAGGAACTGATCCAAACCGCCATTTACTTATTTTCTGGAGAAGCTGACCCTCAGAGAGTATATTGAATGGGAACTGATCCAAACCGCCATTTACTTATTTTCTGGAGAAGCTGACCCTCACAGAGTATATTGAATGGGAAATGATCCAAACCTCCATTTACTTATTTCCTGGTGAAGCTGACCCTCACGGAGTATATTGAATGGGAACTGATGGGAAATCAAACCCCGCCATTTACTTATTTTCTGGAGAAGCTGACCCAGAGAGTATATTGAATGGGAAACGGATCCGAACCGCCATTTACTTATTTCCTGGAGAAGCTGACCCTCACGGAGTATATTGAATGGGAAATGATCCAAACCTCCATTTACTTATTTCCTGGAGAAGCTGACCCTCACAGAGTATATTGAATGGGAACGGATCCGAACCGCCATTTACTTATTTTCTGGTGGAGAAGCTGACCCTCACGGAGTATATTGAATGGGAACTGATCCAAACTGCCATTTACTTATTTCCTGGAGAAGCTGACCCTCACAGAGTATATTGAATGGGAACGGATCCGAACCGCCATTTACTTATTTTCTGGAGAAGCTGACCCTCACGGAGTATATTGAATGGGAACTGATCCAAACCGCCATTTACTTATTTTCTGGAGAAGCTGACCCTCACGGAGTATATTGAATGGGAACGGATCCAAACCGCCATTTACTTATTTTCTGGAGAAGCTGACCCTCACAGAGTATATTGAATGGGAAATGCATAAGGAAGGAAAAACTGTAGCTTGTCAATCTAAGTTTTCACACACCTGCTGGTGGAGTGTAGAGGCAGTGGGCAAAGGGAGAGCACCCTCCATTGTCTCTTGCACATGCGTTGATGGTATGGATACAGATATGTCCATCGCCATGGTAACCAGGATAACAAGTACAGTTGATCGTTTTATACTGAAAAGGAATGAAACATAATAATGGCAATATTTAGGACTGTTATATAAATGAATCTTCTGTGACATTCTTCCTTCAAATTATACTACCGCATACCACAATCTGCTTTCCACGGACACTAAATGTGTCTGAGTGATTATCTTCAATATAAGGTGTTGATGGGGGTTAATATTTCACCCTAGTCATTATGCAGTATTCAAGGTACTATTCTACATTGTTTACAAATATTCATGGAAATATCCTCCAGTATTGATGGAAATATTGCCCAGTATTTGTGGATATATTCAACAGTATTCATGAAAATATTGCCCAGTATTTGTGGATATATTCAACAGTATTCATTAAAATATTCCCCAGTATTCATGAAAATATTCTCCATAATTCATGGAAATATCCTCCAGTATTGATGGAAATATTTAACCGTATTTGTGGAAATATTTAAGAGTATGTCCCCATATATTCAAGGATGCTGTATTAGAGCTATCTATTTATCAAATATATCCTTCATACATTTAATACTGAAACCTGCTATTGCAGCCATCCAAGATTCTACTGTTGTAGTGTACATGGAGACACCTACAAGGTCAAGGACATACACAGCATATTAGATAAAATACGGTAAACAAAGCAGAACATGCTGTACAAGGCTACTTCAACCTGTAGTCCTCAGTGTTCTGGGCCCCATTCCTAAAAGCGATCGTAGTGCTACGACAGTCGTAAGTCTACGTTAAAGTATGGGAGTTACGATCATCTTAGGGTTACGATCGCCTTGAGCCCCTGTTCAGCATGGATCTACTTACATTATATTCACAGGAAGCGTATTCATGACACTTCCCGTTCCGGACATCGCAAGGGGAGTAGCATATGTGTCCATCTCCAATGTATCCATTGTTACATCGACACGTTATCTGGTCGTCAACCTTGGTGCACTGAGCGTTCTTGCTGCAGTTACCGTTTTGGAAGTCACAACTGTTTATTGCTGAAGCCATAAAACAAGTGTATTGTCAAAATGTGGATATTGAAGATTGTCAATTATGTTTGTTTTTCACTCCTATAGTGACTCCGCCATATAGCTGGAATATTGCTGAGTGCGGCGTAAAACTAAAACTCACTCACCTGTAGTGACTAGATTATAACTGCAAACTTAATTTTACTAAATGTTGCCAGAGAATTATCGGCTAAGATTATCTCCCCACATACATTCCCAGGGATGCACTTGCACTCCTTCCAGTTACCTTTCATATCACCACACTAGCAGACATTACAGCCTGGTCCAGCAAGTCCCTCCAGACACGACCCACAGTCCATCCAGACACGACCCACAGTCCTCCCCACGGAACAGGAGAAACACACTCCCTTGAACCCCACCTCACCATCCACACTCACATCAGACACAGAGGTGACTTACAGACATTACAGCCTGGTCCAGCCAGTCCCTCCAGACACGATCCACAGTCCTCCCCACGGAACTGTGGGAAGCACTTGCATTGTCCCGTCCCCGCCACACCGTCCATACACAGACCGTTGCCATGACAGGGAGTCTCTGGTCCACCCGGGCATTCTGGGTACAAGAAAATAAACCAGTTCTATATTTGTGTATAGATATTCAACCAGTGAGAAATAGAACTCCCCAGATAATGTGTTACTTCCATTCAAACTTGGTATCAGTATGAGGGTTCATTGATAAGGTGAGTGAGTGAGTTTAGTTTTACGCTGCACTCAGCAATATTCCAGCTATATGGCAGCGGTCTGTAAATAATCGAGTCTGGACCAGACAATCCAGTGATCAACAGCATGAGCATAGATCTGCGCAATTGGGAACCGATGACATGTGTCAACCAAGTCAGCGAGGCTGACCACCCGATCCTGTTAGTCGCCTCTGAAGATCAATATTCTAACCCGGATCTTCACGGGTATGATTGATAAGGTCTCATCTTCACAGAAAGACTTGACCTCAAGGATACATTTTTTACACCCTCTGCCATACTGATACCCTTTTGCCAACAATTTCATTAAACATTTGTAGAAGCCTAGACTAAAGCTTGGTCTCTGAATATATACAATACAATTGAGAAATGAGCCCCAGTGAGACAGAAGATCCTGAACTTGAGGAAAATCTAGACATACTCCATTTAGAGCTTTAGCATTACTGTAAGGGCTGGGAGGAATGGAAAATAAAATGGTTCGGGGACTGAGAGACACACTAATAGAAGTCCTTTCTCTTGGCAGTCCAACAAGATTGGGAACTGAAGGAATTCTGATGGAGCTAAATAATGAGAATACAGTGGGTGCAGGAGTTCAAAACCACGCTCATGGATTGTGGACATGAAATCAACTGATTTGTGCACTGGACCATTTCACAACATCCAACTTCTTAAATTTTATCCTGCAATTGCCTGAAAAGTCCTTTTAGAAGATGGTTCATTGTGATGACACGGAAGTGATCACTGAAGACAGGTGGTACTTTCCAGCTGATTGGACAGTGTTTTGACCACTTTAGGGGTGGTGTCCCAAGGGGTGATGGTGTCCCATGCTTTAACTGGTGTGATTGGACAGTGGTTTGACCACTTTAGGGGTGATGGTGTCCCATGCTTTAACTGGTGTGATTGGACAGTGTTTTGACCACTTTAGGGGTGATGGTGTCCCATGCTTTAACTGGTGTGATTGGACAGTGGTTTGACCACTTTAGGGGTGATGGTGTCCCATGCTTTAACTGGTGTGATTGCTGTTTGAGCTCAGATTGAAACTTGTGAACTTCACCCTAGTCACAATCATTGTTTCTGCAAGAACCTTTCTGGGTCAACTTAAAACAGAGCTAGAATATCATGAGACAAAAAAATGCCTGTGAGTTCTTGATCAGACGTCAGCAGCCACAATGTTGCCACCCAATACCCATCAACAGAGGCATACCTAACCTTCCTGGATCCTGACAGAGTTGGTCTCTCCCAGACCCTAGACACTAAATTCAAAACTTAATCCAGCTCAAGTCTAGAATGATTCGGCAAGTCTAGATTGACTCAGATCTAACATTAAGCATCATTCCTTGGATCTTAGTTCGTATTGTGAAGGTATAAGTATAAATGTAATGCTTGTATGTAGATAAGCATGAAATATGTCACCTGCACAATCAGTTCCAAAGTATCCTGAGCAGCAGGCTGGTGTCTGTCAACAGAAAGTGAATTAGTTAAGACTGAAACTGTTCTCAAATGCATTTAAAATAGACTGACTGACTGACTGAGTTTGGTTTTATGCCGCTTTTAGCAATATTCCAGCAACATCACGGCGGGGGATACCAGAAATGGGCTTCACACATTGTGCCCATGTGGGGATTCGAACCCGGGTCTTCGGCATGACGAGCCAATGCTTTAACCATTAGGCTACCCAACCGCCCCCATTTAAAATAGATTTTACATTAGGCCAGACAAATTTTATTTTTTGTTTTATGGATTTTTGCCCTCAGAAAACCTAAAGGGAGGAGGTGAAAAAATAAAAATATAATCACCAAAGTAATATTCCTTCTAAATATTAAAAGTATTTTACTTTTGGAAATTTATGAACTGTACATGTGGCAAAAAACAATCAAAAACAAATTTTCTTGTAAGTTTACATTTTTGTCCAATAAAAACATTAGGATTTTATTTTTTGAGCGGGGAAAAATAATTTATATTTTTTTCTTATTCTTGAAAAAATATGACCGGCAGATCCGTAAAACAAGAAATATAATTGGTCTGGCCTTAATTAGCAGTTCAATTTTGAAATAATGCAGTTTTCACACAACTTCTGTGAGTGGATTCCAGTACACATGTACTCACCACCTTCACAGACTGACACATGCCATGGCAGCCGAGGTAGTTGAAGGTCTGGCCGCCAGACCCGCTCACGCTGTAGGTACACTGGAACTTGATGAGCCCTGCCCCCTCCACTGGGGTGTAGCCTTGCGGACAGGTGATGTTCTGTACCCGACACGATGCACACGGACCCTGAAAACAGAACATACCTCATTGTCAATCCTGATTAAATTTGTAACACCTGGTTGGTTGTTTAATGCCACACTCAGCAATATTCCAGCTACATGGCAGTGGTCTGTGAATACCGTAATCAAGTTTGGACTAGACAATTGGGATACAATGACATGTGTCAACCAAGTCAGTGAGTCTGACCACCCGATCCTGTTAGTCACCTCTTATGTAGCTTGCGAAAAAGTTTCAAAAGTTTGCTAGGCAGTCAGGCTAGCTAGCTATGCCTGAAAGTTACTTGCCCACAACATAATTCACTAGCCTGAAATTTGAATGTAGACATGGGTTTCATCATTAAGCTGCAAATATGATGAACATTTTTATTAGGCAATAATCTTGCAAGATTTAAAAGTGTATTATAACTTAACAAATTGGAGAGAGTATATATTTGCAAAATGACCCCATGAAAATTCACTAGCCAGTCGGGACAGTGACTGTGGGGATTTACTGGCCTAACTGGATTTTTACTAGCCACGGGCTAGCGGGCCAGTGGCTGTTTTGCACACTGCTCTTAGGACACGCATGGGTTACTGAAGACCAGTTCTACCCCGGATCTTCACAGGTCTTGTAACACGTGGATGTCACACCATGCTGTACACTTCAGTGTAGTTTTGGTAAAATATTTGTGTGCACAAATTAGATCCACCTTCAGCTTGCTCTAAGACAAGCAGCAACACCATATCTACTACCAATTGGTCAGAGACTTGGATTGACCATAGCCAGCTTGATTTGCTGATGAGTAATACCAGTCTCTGAGCCTGACCACCCAGTCCAATATAGTTTTACTACAAATAATATCACGATGGAGATCTATTCTAGAGTAAAGCCACACTGGCTGACATATATTATGGAAAGGAAGATGGCTGCCTTTGCCGTGCACATACCCGTGTGGTGTTCACCTTCTTGTCATCACAGCGGTTCAGCTCTGGATGCAGCAGCTGGGCGATGCCTTGTACGACACCGCCACTGGTCAGAATGTCATCCTGCACTATCAGGATCCCATTCACATACACCTGAAAGTTATTTATACATAGGTAAGGAGTGATGGACACAATATATATACTCAGCAGCAAAAAACGTCAGTACGAATTCAAAATTAGACAGGCACTGTAATCAAATCATTACAGAAATTGACATAATAAGCGGATAACAATGTTTCTTTTTGTACAATATCTTGACACATCAATGAACAACTCAGCACAATTTCAAGACATTACGTGAACGTTTGCAGTCCATTCAGACCCTTGACTTCAGTATTTAGTGTGACCACCGCGAAGCAGCAATAACTGCAGCACAGCGTCTATGCATGGAGTGCACCATTTGATGAAGGCCATTGGCACCTGGAACCACACTCTGAGAAAAGCCTGGCGCAATAAATCGGCTGTGTTCGGCCTTGGTATGACATTATTCAGTCTCCTCTGAATTTCATCCCCAAAGTTGGGTTTAAATCAGGACTAAGGGCTGGCCACTGTATAATGTTGACACCATTCTGCTGTAGGAAGTCCCGTGTAGCTCTGGCAGTATGGGCCCGGGCGTTATCATGCCGGAAAATGTTGTTCCGGTGACATGCGAAATGTGGTATGGCGTGGGGTCTGAGAGCTTGGTCGATGTAGCGCACCACTGTGATGCCGCCTCCTCTCCCTGGACCAAGGCTCTGGAACACCACAGTACCCACTTTCTGGTTCAGGCCTATTCCACCCCATACCATGATGCTTGCACCTCCCCATGAGTCTCTTTCCATAACACATTGGTCTGAGTAACGCTGGCCATGTCGTCGCCATATTCTTGTCTGCCATCTGCAGTTGATACGCAGTACCGACTCTCATCTGTGAACAGAACAGTTCTCCATTGCCTGAATCGCCAGTTTTGGTGTTGTAGGGCAAATTGTAGACGTTCGCGCTTATTACGAGGGTTGAGGATAGGTCCTCGGTAAGGGCTACGGCAATGGAGGTTCCCGCTGTTAAGACGTCGGCGTACTGTATCAGTACTGATTGGTCTTCCGTGTGTTCCCACTGTCTGGCGTGCTGTTTCGGATGCCTTCATGAAGGGATTCTGTACATGCTGTTGCACAACATGGTGGTCTTGTCGTCTTGTGGTAACCCTTGGTCTGCCAGTACAGGGGCGATCATTTGTGGTGTTGGTGGCCTGGAAACGTTGCTGCAGCCTGTAGATGACCTGGAAGTGATTGGCAACGGCTTGTGCAGTGTGGCCAGCTTCAAGTCTTCCTAGCGCCTGGTTCCTCTGAGCTGTCGTGAGTCGCGGCATCCTGCTGACGTTGTAATGTGAATGTTTCAACCAGGTTTGGGGTGCATTTTATAGGGCTGGTCCTTGTGAACAGCACATGCAGCATGAGTTGCATGAAAAACATGGAGAATACTGTACCATCTCCGAGGTCAGGTTGCGTTTTTGAGACCATTTCCTGGGTTCAATTCTGAGTTTGGGAAGGAATGTCTTTGCTCAGGTAAAGTTGGAGATGTTGTCAAAAATATACAATCAAGACATTAAATGAGTTTACAGTTATACGTTTCTGCGAAGGAAAATTCCAAACTGACGTTTCTTTTGCTGATAAGTATAGTTCCGTCTCCTATTCTTGCGGGTTTCCTATTCTCGCGGTAAACATGTTTTCTGCTGATATCACTGAAGCGCTACACTGAGCGGTTGTTAACCTTGCCGACCAGTAACTAGGAAGTGGCCCAAATCTTGCAATGTCACGAACATTGGGGAGTTTATACCAACTTGGACATATCATAACTTTGTCCTGCCCTTTCTGGCAGGATTATCCACACCATGAGAATGTTATACCAGAATGGGAGAAGCCTCACATCGTCAATGGTGGATGGCATTGTTTATCACTGGGCTCATGAGTGGTAATTCACCTGATGGATCTAGCTGCTGATAGATGCAGATGTTAGAGGACAAGGCCCTACATTTAAAAACAACAAGCATTCATACGATAAGAACTTTTTGTGTTATTTTTCAGCCGATATCCGTAAGTACCACAAGAATAGGAAACGTCCTCACACTGACCAAGTCCTTGATACATCTGTACAGAACGTAGAACTATTACTATGAATACAGAATGCCATGCAAAGTGGTGAAAATGTAACACATGTTATATTTGGGCTTAAACTTCCTCAGTAAAGTACAGATTCTTGTACTTTTGTTGGCTTGAGTCCCATACAGGATTCAAACCCACACCCTTAGAATGAGGCACCTAATCGCCAGTACACAAATTAAGCCTTCTAACCCACTAAGCCAATGCATCTTCCACAAACATGGAAGTCAGACAACTGGTGGTCCTGATCAATAGAAGCTGCAGTACAAAAGTACTAGAATCTGTACTTTACTGAGAAGGTGTAATCCCAAATATAACATGTACAAAATAACAGCTGCTAACCAGGGTTCAAACCCACAATCATAGATAGCACAAGCTGCAGTGCCTTAGACCACTGGGCCACCTGTTGTCCCGAGTCTAAACAAGGCTAAGACTCCTGATGGAAGTGTTGTCCCACACACCTGTTGGTCCTTCACAGTGAACTGCAGAGGGAAGTTCTGGCCAAGCAGGGTTTCTTCCCTTTGTCCATCAATGACGGATGGCGTGAGAATCATCTTGGGGATCATGTAGTATTTGAGGAATTTAGTCGTCTGAAATTATAAGTTGGACAATGATAACAATCACAGTTTTGTTGTGTTATCAGTAACATACTGGGGTGTTAGATGCACGACAAATCAATGTAACATGTGAGCACCGGTTTCCTTAATCAGGTTGTATTATACACACAATACACACAAATCCTGAATACCATCTTCAAAGGCCACTGTGGTTACACAGTCCCCAAATAACATCTTTAGTTGAAATTGTGATCTCACAATTCTAATTACTGTTTTCAGCAGCCATTGCATGCACATGGTCACTGGGACCAACCCCTTAGAAAAAGTTCAGGGTATAAAGGGAATTAACCTATTCTAACCAAGAATATCAACAGGACACAACCATTCGGTACCAAAGAACAATTCTACCAGAAAAACAGGCATGGAATACTAAAGGCCAATTCTACTTGGCAATCAGTATAGGAGATTTGAATGGAATAGTGAAGACCAATTCTACAAGAGGAAACAGCCATGGAGTACTGAAGACCAATTCTACAAGAGGAAACAGCCATGGAATAATGAAGGCAAATTCTACTTAGCAATCAGTATAGGAGATTTGAATGGGATAGTGAAGACCAATTCTACAAGAGGAAACAGCCATGGAATAATGAAGGCCTATTCTACTTAGCAATCAGTATAAGAGATTTGAATGGGATAGTGAAGACCAATTCTACAAGAAGAAACAGCCATGGAATAATGAAGACCAATTCTACAAGAGGAAACAGCCATGGAATAATGAAGACCAATTCTACAAGAGGAAACAGTCATGGAATAATGAAGACCAATTCTACAAGAGGAAACAGACTTATAATACTGAAGGCCAATTCTACAAGAGGAAACAGACTTAGAATACTGAAGACCAATTCTACAAGAGGAAACAGCCATGGAATAATGAAGACCAATTCTACAAGAGAAAACAGCCATAGAATAATGAAGACCAATTCTACTTGACGATCAGTAAGGGGGACATGAATGGGATAGCAAAGACCAATTCTACTTAAGGAACCCTGAGGAGACAAGCATGGATTACTGAAGACCAGTTCTACTTGAGGATCCGGGGGCACAAGAGACATGGGACACTGAAGATCAGTTCTATTTGAAGATCTAATGGAGGCAAGCATGTGCCTCAGAAGCTCTTTTCAGCCCAGATGATAATGAACAAGGCACAGTCGAGCACCGTTGTGTCGAACTCTGATAACTCTAAATCTCGGTTGTCTCAATATAACATCTCAGTCCCAGCAAAATCCTTCATAATTTATCATTATTCAAGCTCTTTTTACTCCATACGGATGTCTTGATATTTCGGATATCTCGATATATTTTCATGGCCCCAACAAGCCAAAGTACCCTTTTAACTCGACATTTGCAAAGAAACTCGATATTCACCTACCTTTCATGGGCAAGTATACCTCTGAACTGAGGTTGTTTCCACACATTTACACACGGTGCGGCATGAATCAAAGGGATGCGGTAGTGTGTAAACTAAATAGGGCTAATTGAGTTGAAGTTGTCACTTGTTTGTTATTTAATTAGGATTAATTAAAAAGGAATTTATTAGGAAGTACTCACTGTTATGACTATACACTACTGATAATGGATTATAGTTTCGAAACAAAACCTACTGAGAAGTATTTGTTTTCTTTCATAGTAATATGTGATGATATGCCCTGGTCGGATGTCTTGAAGTCTTATAACTCGATAGTTTTCTTGGTCCCATGAATATCAAGACAACGGTGCTTGACTGTATATATTTGAAGGTGATAGCGAACACATCACCCCTAAGATACCCTTGATGTGCTGGATGTACCTAGTTCACCTACCACAGTGCCCTCCATCTGCAGCAGAGCTGTGTTGGTGGGTGCCAAGACAGTGTACTGATCCATGTCTTCAAGCTCAGACACAAGACCAAATTTCTGCAAATAACAGAAAACAAATCTTCAACATTCACATTTTAGTATTATGGCCTTGGGTGATGGAGTAGCAAAATGGGTCAAGTGTTTGTTGATCACACCGACAGTTGGGGCCACATGGGTACAATGTGTGCAGCCATTCTGCTGTTGTCCCCAACTGTGATATTGCTGGAATATTGGGTGAGGGGTTAGTGTAGAGGCTGAAGCATTTGCTCATCACTCCAACAGCCTAGGCTCTATTCCAAACATGGGCATAAAGTGTGAAGCCCATTTCTTGAGTCCCCCACTGTGATACTACTGGAATATAGCTGTCAAAAACCATACCCATTCACTCACTCATTCACTGGATTATGACCTTGACCTTCAATCCCAACAGGTGCAGCATGGCAGGAAATGCACATCAGCTCCAGATATTCCTACATTACTCTGACTTTCCATTGCAGGTTGTATGTTCGGTTTGCTTGGTGACCTATTGGTGATTCTCGGTGAATCTGAACATCATTAAAAGATCTGAATCTTTAAAGGACAAAGATATATTCTGCCCTCACTAGGGCTGGGACGGATACTCGGGTACTCGAATCCGGATCGGTTACAGCTGGAATCGAGTCCTATTTCAAGCAATCGAGTACCCGGAAAGGGAGAGAACTCTGTAATGTCAAGGGAATGTAACTCTAACCTAGAGCAAAAGTGCTAAGTTGAGTGTTTGGGCTCATTTTGAGCTTGATGCAAATGGCAGAACCAATTGGCGACTGCGTGTACCATGCTATTTATTGCAGAAACAGTACAAGTTTAATGCACAAACATCTTGCTCTAAAACACAACGTAAAAACACGAAGGTGTTCATTACATTGTGTAACTCTAATTGCTTATTAAGTTAGTTCATAAAAGCTGTTAAGACTACATTGAATGTTGTCTTTAGTTTATATTTCATTTCAATTTCATGAGACACATATTTTACTTCTGCGTCAAAGCTGAATACATTCACCATAACAGAGATTGTAATTCAATGATTGTATGTGTTGGGATTATCAATTAAAACTAATAAATTAACATAATAAAACGAATGTTTATTGAAAGAGCACATTCTGATTTGCAAATTCAATGTTCGGCTGATTATCATGACAATAAGAAGAAAGATAATCAGAAATATATAGAAGCACAACTTCCAATGAAGAACTCAATGTTCACTTTATACAAATTTAGAATATTTAAATAACAATAGTTTTGTGCTGTTTTTGTTTACCTAAACGTAAAAATATAGCATTTAGATGCATTTCTTTGTCGCTACATTCAAACACAAGTATTTTAATGCAACTTTTAGTAACCTTCTGGAAGGATAAAACTTTAATTACGGTTAATGAGTTATTCACGGCCCTGTATTTGTGTGTACTCTGTAATGTATAATAGACACACTGTAATGCAACTGACTTGCGCAACAGAGCAAAATGACCAGTCTTCCCTCATGAAGCGAAGCATTTTGCTATGCTGCTTAACTCAGTTGCATTACAGATTGCCGGTCTGTAGATCTCAGATAGAATTTTCCAGTCAGTAAATACATTAATCACATTTCATTCTATGTAAGTTTACATAAAGTCCCCATGTAAAACATCATAGGTTCAGTTAGAATATCACATCTGACAGTAGTTCAACAACAGAATAAATTGCCTTTTCATTGACGTAACACACATTTAATTACATCTTTGGTATTGTCCGGTTAATGGAGGTTATTATTAACGACTGTAATATATCTGCACATGAGCAATGAGTTGTCAAGTCATAGTGGAATGTAAAGTTAGTAATGGTGTTGCTCTTTGTATCAGTTAAACAGACGTAAATTAAATAGTTTAAGATCAGTTTCAATGTCTTATTGCCATCCTTTCATGTTTTCTATAAAAATCTCTGTCAAATCGTGATTGAATATTCAGAAAGTTGACAGAAGCGCTTTATTCTTGACGTTTCCGGGTACTCGATTCCGATTCGGGTAAGAACATGCGGGTACTCGATTCCATTTTTTCCTACCCGTCCCAGCCCTAGCCCTCACCCAGTAAACCCCCTGAACCTACTTGTTTTAAGATGAAACATGCATAGTTCTTTCATCATTCATACTACATTCTCATATAAAATAACATCTTACTGTGAGGTACTGAAAAACTGTGAATAGTCCGACTTCTGGGAAAAGAGTTCATCCAAATCAGGCTGGTCCGATTCTGGGAGGAAGGGTTCTAACACCTGAAACAGGTAAAACAGTTGAGGAAATATGAAAACAAAGTGCGTATTTAGTTGATCTTGGTAGTCTGTGCTCTTCCTTCTTTTTAAAAATCTTGACACAATGAAGTAGATGTCCACAGATGTGTCAACAGACTTAGCGTCCAATACAAATGTTGATGTTAAGAGTTGCTGAGAAGTACACTACCTTGTCAACAATATGGATGTAGCCATTGAGGGCAGGGATGTCACTCATGGACACTGTGGATGTTGATGTTTGCGAATTGAATATCAAGATTGTCTGAAATGGAGAACACACTTAAAGATAGCCTCTCAAAAGGAATTTATCACTCAGATCAATCTAATATGGAATGGAAAAAATATGTATTTTTTATTCAATTTCAGAAAAAAGCCCATTAACAAGGGATTAACACAATAATGGAAGCTCAACACAATAACATAGACTCAACACAATTATAATGGGTTCAACACAGAGGCTCAACACAATAACATAGACTCAACACAATTATAATGGGTTCAACACAGAGGCTCAACACAATAACACAGACTCAACACAATTATAATGGGCTCAACACAGAGGCTCAACACAATAACACAGACTCAACACAATTATAGTGGGCTCAACACAGAGGCTCAACACATAGACTCAACACAATCATAATGGGCTCAACACAGAGGCTCAACACAATAACATGACTCAACACAATTAAAATGGGCTCAACACAGAGGCTCAACACAATAACACAGACTCAACACAATTATAATGGGCTCAACACAGAGGCTCAACACAATAACATAGACTCAACACAATTATAATGGGCTCAACACAGAGGCTCAACACAACACAGGTTCCACATAATTTTGGGGCTCAATACAATAATAGAAGCTCACATAAAATCTCAATGCTGCTCTCTCTCTCTCACTCTTCCATTGCAAAGTTTAACAGGTTTGGTACCTTTCACGGTCAGTACAGGAAGGTTAGGGCTATTTGCAATACAAATGAGATAAAGGGCTTTCCGCATCTTAATCCTTCTCACCTGGTTCCTGGCAGCGATCCTGATGGAGTAGCCGTCGTAGAGGGTGCTGAAGCTGTGGTAGACCTGTGACAGCTGCAGCAGGTTGTAGGTAGTGTAGGCGTTCTCCAGAGTGTGGAACCTGCATACAACAGACTCATCAACATCAGCTTAAGGGCTGTTCCCCTCACAGACCATAGACATTGGAGAGAAGACAGATTTTGAACCCACTATAAGGTGGCCAGAACTCTCTGAATGGCATTAAGGGGCGGTGGGGTAGCCTAGTGGTTAAGGCATTCGCTCATCATGGGTTCGATTCCCCACATGGGTATAATGTGTGAAGCCCATTTCTAGTGTCCCCTGCCATGATATTGCTGGAATATCGCTAAATGCGGGATTAAACCAAACTCACTCACTCACCCACTGAATGGCATTCAGAAGGGACATACACAAAGGGAGGGGGTTTTATTGATGGCCTGATAGAGAAGTAAGAGTATACTCCCAAATCTCATGTTTCTCATATTACAAAAGTTGACATCCACCAGTTTTTCCCCTTTAAGTCAAGAACTGACTTTAAATGTGATATTCTAATGTTAGGCAAAGTAGATAAATGCACTTAAAGTTTCAAAACAGCAAAAATATACTTAGATCATGTATAAGCTCAGTTAGTGAGTGAGTGGGATTCGGTTCAGTGATTGGTGTGGTTGATATCTAATTTTACTCTGTATTTTATTAACACTGTTTACAATTTCCTCAACATGGTCAAGTCAATGAAAATTCTCCTTTTAGTGACCGTTCATAACTTATGGTAAGGGGTGGGGGGTGATGATGATTTTTAAGCAGAAGCATGTACAATGTGAATGATTCGCCTAAAATTTATGTACAAACTAAGTGCCCCCCCCCTTGATATGTACAAAATCAATGACACCCCTCCCCATTCCCATGATTTTAAAGTAAAATTTTAAATATTGTTATGTACAAAATTGATGACCCTCCCTTGTATGTGTGTACAAAATTGATTAACACACAGACACACACACCTCCCCAGAACAAAATGGGTGACCCCCCCTAAAATCATTATCATCATCTGTTTCTCCTCCTCCCCCCAAAAAAACAACAACAAAAAAACACACACAAAAAACCCCGGTCCCTTATCACATATAGGGAATAATAGCGTCCAGTAAACAGACATGTAAACAGACTCACTGTCTGTTCAGTGTGGGCCTCATGACCAATATGGGGTGGTGGGGTAGTCTAGTGGTTAAAGCATCCGCTCGTCACACTGAAGACCCGGGTTTGATTCCCCACATGTGTACAATGTGTGAAGCCCATTTCTGGTGTCCCCTGCCGTGATATTGCTGGAGAATTGCTAAAGGCGACGTAAAACCATACTCACTCACTCACGACACATACCACAATTGATACAGAATGACATGCTTGGTGAGGCGCTAAACATTTACCAATTTACAATATCGAATTACATCCCAATAATCCTAATAGAAAATAGATTTCTTTATAAGTAAAGAGCAAGTAGTTTTATGCAATTTGCTTTATGCATAGATGGCAGTTGTTATACATTGTATTTTGCTCTGATTGGATACACATGAAAACAACTTAGTATGGGAAGTCATATTTTTCTTTGACTATCATTATAACACTTGTATTTAAGTATGGCTTCACCAACATTTTCATTATAGAGATGACATTTATTTTCTTGAAATATTTAAGTTAATAACACGTTTAGTTGAACTGTTCACAGGGTAATTGGTTAGAATTTGCATAAATAAAACAACTGAGAGTGAAACTCACTTTAACAATTGTTAGTGATAAAGAGGAAGAAGTTGAGGCCTTGGCAGTGGCTTGTCAAATACTTCTATACATCAATATTAGTTGACCTCAGTTATCAGCTGAACAAAAATGCTATTCGTGATACTGTCATAAACATCCTCTTAATATTTGCAACTTAATTAATATAATATTTTGAGATACAATTCTTCCCATCATTGTATTAAAATTGTTTGAAGTTATGTTACTTGTTACTAGATATATTTAACTGAATCATCAGATTGCGAAAAGACATGTGCACGACGAGTGAGTGAGTGAGTGAGCGAGCGCGCGGGCGGGTTATTGGGTGGGTAGGTGAGTGGGTGAGTTAAAATTTTACGTCACACTGGCAATATTTCAGCCATATTGTGATGACAAATAGTTAAGAACTAGGAATATATATATTTATACATTTTTAAAAATCTGTCAGCGAAGGACAGTATAACGACTAGATTATCACAAATTAATGAAAACTAGTTTGAGTTCAGTGTAAAATGCTACATCAAAACAACACAATATAAAATCAGGTTATAGATCGCCAGCAACTGAAGGTAGATCACTATACTAGGGACCATAGGGACTTACATTACTTTTGCTACATGCATGGGCCCTGGCTGGATTTAAGATGTTGGCGAATTTTCAGCAATTTAGCCATACCGGGGTACATTAAAACTACAAACATTCTGTGATTAAAATTCTGGCAATGATCAACATACATTCAGTGATGTGGCCTTAAAACCCTCTTTGGAGGACAATTATTTTACGCTACTTCAACCCCGTCCGAGGGTTGTCATTCGACCAAATGTAAAAATAGTTATTAGTTACAGTACATGATCAAAATTTATGAATCAGATCAATTTCCTTTAAAAACACAAGAATTAAATGAGGACATAAATAAAAAAGATCCTTCAGGACATGAGCACAAGTCATCATGTTAATCCATGCATATAAAACAGGGCAGAACAGGACATGTGACTAAAGTTTTGTGATGTTTTATCTCAAATTTCAAGTTTTTATTGATTAAGTTTGCCAATACATGTCTTTCATACCTGAATTAGCTGAATGGATATGATGTAGTTTTTTCTGTGCATAGCACTCAAAAATGTTCTCTAATATACTGAATCCTCTAGAGGAGAGTGCACACTATACTCAAGAAAATAGGGTAAGATTTGTAGTCAAATGGTTATGGTGCTCAGCCCAACTATTCCGATAATATCTTTCCGATGTGAATGAGGGAAGAGCAGAAAAGAGATAATATCCCCGAGTGAGCTACTTAACAAAGCCAGACTGCTCTTTATATTCCTTTCATCAAGATGAAGTGGTACTTGTCCATCAGTTTACTTGTCAAGTTTAAGGATCATGGGTAGTTTTAGAGAACCATTTTTGGTCTTCCCAACTATGATATTACTGGAATACTCATTAAGTGGCATAAAACAATACTCACTCCACTGAAAGGACTGCAAAACTACATTGATCTTAACTGATTGATCTTATGGAAACATGTCATGTAAGTAGAATTGAATCAGGTAATGAAATCCACGAATCACGAATTCTATAATTTGTGTCCGACACTAAGGTCACCCAATCAGATAGTTCCAAAGTTGTTTACATGTTCCAGATTGGATGGATTTCAGAAAGGTGTCTCTTGCGACACTGGCTGACTGTGTATTGACAATTATATCAGTGGGAATAAATACTTGGTTTTGTAAACCCATCCCCCATTGATGATTACAGGCAAGAGACTGCTCTGAAACTTTGTGAATATACAATAAGGACGTTTTTAGCCACAAGTAGGAGTGGTGGTGTAGCCTAGTGGTTAAAGTGCTCGCTCGTCACACTGATGACCAGTGTTCAATCCCCCAGTGACAACTCTGCTTCCCTGATAACAACTGTTATCCCCCGACTCTCAAGTTCATAAACCTGATGTCTATGGAAAACATAAAGACTATCAAACAAATGGGAAAATATCTCAGTAAAGTTTGAATGCTATGCAATTAATTCTGCATTATTAATATTTTCAAGGTAATTACTATTGTGCAGGTATAAATCTATACCCAAATTCCTATGTATAAGACTAACGGGATCGGGTGGTCAGGCTCACTGGCTTGGTTGACACATGTCATCGGTTCCCAATTGTGCAGATCGATGTTCATGCTGTTGGTG